AGACCAGGTGACCCGTGTGGGCAGGTGCCTTGGCCTGACCCTCCATCTAAACCATCTGTGTCAATCCCTTGCCTACCTGCAAGTGCAGAGGCCGGTTCATGGAGACCCCAGAAATCATTCCTTCCCTGTCAGGCGTGCCCTCAGCCGCTCCCAGCGCCCATAAGCTATTGGCTCTTTCTCCTAGCAGTGAAAAACTTGGGCATTATCTACAGCTGGGCAGTAACTAAGAGTTTTTAGGGACCTTTCCAGAATCTTCTTTAAGGTTTTAGGGACAAGGGTTTGACACAGTAATGAAATTGCTGCTTGGGATGCCTGCATCTCATTTGAATGCCTGCTTTGACCAAGCTGATTGAGAAAACACGGCTTGGGAGGGAGCAGGTGAGGGAGGATCTCTTTTCATTTCAAATAAGATAAATTAAAAACAAGTTAAGCCACTCTATGTGGCGCTACCATTCCATGTGGGTGTCAGTTCAAGTCCACATGCTATACTTGAGTTCCACTTCCTGCTAATGTGCCTGGGAAGGAAGCAGAGGATGGCTAAAGTGTTCGAGACACTGCGCCCACCCGGGAGGCCTGGAAGAAGCTCCTGGCATGGGCCTGACCCAGTCCCAGCTGCTGTGGGGAGCAAACCGGCAGATGGTAGGTGCTTCTCTTTCCTCTCTCATTTTGTAACTCTGCCTTTCACATAGATAAAATTGACCTTTTTTTTTTAAAGGTAATTTAATACTGGGTTTTTTTTTTCTTTTTTTTTAAGTAATATATTTGAGGGCATGAGAGACAAAGAGGTAGGTACATGTCCTAAAATTGCTAAAAATTGGACCAGGTGAAGCCAGGAGCTAAATCCAAGTCTTTCATATGATTGGCAGGGATACAAGTAGTTGAGGCTTTACCTGCTGCCCACCAGGATATGTTAGCAGAGCTGGGCTTGAACCCAGGCGCCCTGAGACAGGATGTGGACCTCCCCCCTCCAAGGTCTTGTTCATTGGAAGGCATAATTGGAGAGGAAGAGGCACACTCTTCCATCCACTGATTGTCCAAACATCAGCAATGACCTGGAGCTAGTGCAGGGGTCCCAGTGCTTGGGCTGCCCTCCACTGCCTTCCCAGGAGCATTAGTGCGGATCGGAGGCAGAGCAGCCAGGACCCCAACTGCTACTCCGGTCACAGTGGTATCTTAAAGATTTAGCCAGGTTCCCAGCGTGGTAGCCTAGTGGCGAAAGTCCTTGCTTTGCATGCGCTATCGGGATCCCATATGGGCACTGGTTCGTGTCCTGGCTGTTCCACCTCCCTTCTGGCTCTCTGCTTGTGGCTTGGGAAAGCAGTCCAGGATAGCCCAAAGCCTTGGGACCCTGCACTCACGTGGGAGACCCAGGGGAGGCTCCTGGCTCCTGACTTCAAATTGGTTCAGCTCCAGCTGTTGCGGCCAACTGGGGAATAAACCAGCAGATGGAAGATCTTTCTCAGTCTCTCCTTCTCTGTGTAAATCTGCCTTTCCAGTAGCAATAAGTTTTTATTAAAAAATAAAATAAAAAAAAGAAGCTGGTACTTCCCTTACCTCTGTTGACCTTGCCACCTGATGACTCGTGCCGGAGTCCAGCTCCAGGCGATTGTGGAACTCGGGCAGGGTGCGTGGGGGAGGCGTAAAGACAAAAGAAATGGGCCACTGCGGTTTCAGGATGGTGATGGGCAATGCCGGAAAGCTGCCCCTTTATTTATACATCAACCCTTACCAGCTCTGGCACAGACTTCTGAGGTCATGGTCAAGTGGGTGTATCCAGAAATGAATCTGCCATTTGTTTCACCTAAAAGCTTTCTTTTCTTTTTTTTTTTTTTTATTCTTTTTTTTTTTTCTTGTTACCTAAAAGCTTTCAATAGAAGTTTCTCAAATATTCGTTGGCAGTAGATGGTGCATATCAATCAGTAGCACATTCCTATTGCAGTCCTCATTCTACAACTTAATCTTGAATCGGTTAAGGGAAGAAATGCATCACAAAAAAAGGGGAACCTAAAGATCAAGGATGGTCAGTGAGGGCAGCAGAGACGGAGACAGCAGGAATTGTAAAAGCATCAACTTCCAGGCTCACGTTGATAGTAAAAACCAACTCTGTGGTGGCAACCAATGCCTGAATGAATTACAGAATCCTCAGCGGGGTTGTCTGGTATCCATGCGAAGGGAGGTGGACCCGCCTTCAGGTGGCCGCAGAGACGTCTGCCAAGCTCTGCCATGCAGCGGAAAATTCCTTGCAGCCCTGGCTGCAGTGGAACAGCTCTCTTCACACCTCCATGTCCCCCACATCCACTGCATGGACCCCAGCAGACTCCTGGTTTGCTTAGCTCATTGTCTCACCTCCCTCAGCTGGCCTCAGGGCTGGCCTCTGGATCAGCACAGCTTCTGGGCCCATGTTCTTCAGGCCGTTACTCTCCTGCCAGCTGACTGTTGATCCGAGGTGGAGTGCTCAGAATCATCTAGTGGATGGGTTAAATACTTATTTCTTTGCAGAGGGTATTGGGCCTTGTCAGGAACAGTGACAGCACTTCTTGCTCATAAAGCCATGTGTGCCCCTTGCTTCCAAGGTCTGTCCTCTTCCACCCGAGTGCCCTGGGAGTACCTGTCCCTGCATACACTCCTCTGTGCAGTCCCTTCAGTGACCTGGCATGGCATGCTAATGAGGCATGGAGTAGTGCAGTGGGCTGTACCTGACAGCAGTGGGCCGCAGTGCTCCTGCTCAGGTGAGAGCCCGCTTTCTTCTTCCGATCAGTCTTAGTTGTGGCAAGATGGAGAGTCCAGGGACTGAGGACAGCTGGGACTGCATGCAGTCAGATCCATGTCCGACAAGACACGCGCTGTGAACTGTGGAGGTCAAGTTGCTGGTTAGGAGGCTGGGAAGTAGCACCACACACACACTGCATCCGGGGGCAGCCGGGTGAAGGACGCTGCTCCTGTCTGTTTCCTGTGACTGTGGTAGTCACATCACACATGGGGGGAAAAAATAGTTGGAGTTCTTTTGATAAGTGAACTTTGATAAATATTTAACTCAGTAGGTGTAAACACTTGTTGGTGAACCTTTTCAAGTTTTTTTTTTTTTCTTTTTTAATGAAACAGGAGGGCGTTTTGCACCACACTTAGAGCGTTTTCAGTTTGGAAGGCCTCACAGTTCAGGTACCGGTAGCCACACATTGTTGATGGCTGCTGTGCTGCTCAGGGTTTAAACTACTGGACCAGGGATGAGGGGCTCTTGAAGAAGGGGGTTCTGCCCTGTTCCACGCCATGTAGGGGTCCTACACATCAGTGTGTATTTCTCTCCACTTAGGCCTTGTCTTTTTAAGGTATATCTATTTATTTGAAAGAAAGAATTGGAGGAAGAAAGAGAGATCTGCTGGGCCTCCCATGTGAGTGCAGGGTCCCAGAACTGGGGCCATCTTCAGCTGCTCTCCTGGGCACATTAGCAGGAAACTGGATTGCAAGGGGAGCAGCCAGGCCTGGAACCAGCACTCTTCTGGGCTGCTAGCACTACAGGCAGCAGTTTAACGCACCATACCGCAGCGTGGACCCCTGGAGTGTGCTTTCCTAGCTTGTGCCGCTATGTCTCCCAGTGAGTCCTGGCTTACACGGGGGCTCTGTATCACCCCCCACCCCGCACCTAGCTCCAGCACTGTTTCTGACACTTGATAGACACCTCGCAAATGGTTTTTAAATTGTATTTGTGTTTCTTGACATAACTGCATTGCAGACATGCCTTTGGCTGGGGAGGCGGGAGGGTGGGTGCGGGGATTGGGTTCTTGGTGTAGAATTGTCAGAGTCTGTCCCCTGCTGGAGGCCAGTAGATTCTCTTGCTGGGTTAGCTGAGAGCACCCTCAGGTATTGGCTGCTCTCCCTAGGGATGCCCAGGCCAGATGACCTTTCTGGCTACCTGTTCCCCAGAATCTGGTCCTTTTGATAAAGTGGACGGGGTTAGGGGGGTCCCTCATGTGAACTGTGGACTCTGGGTGATCGGATGTATCTGTGTGGGTCCATTGAAGATAGCGCATTTCCTCTGAGCGCGGGACGGTGACTCCTCGTGTGGAGACAGTGAGCCTGTGTTGGAGTCTGCTCACCTCTCAGCTTTGCTGTGAACTCAAATCTGTTCTGTAAACAAAGTATCTGGGGCCAGCTTTGTGATCCAGTGGGTTAAGCCTTCTTGAGGCTACAGCATTCCATATGCACTGCAGCCCAGCTCCCAACCGCAGCAGCTCCAACTTATACATGTTCATGTATGTTCCCATAAATTTGCCTGGGAGGACAGTGGAGGATGGCCCAAGAACTTGGACCCCTACCACCCATGTGGGAGACCTGGCTGGAACTCTAGGTTCCTGGCTTCAGCCTTGCCCAGCCCTAGCTGCCACTGGTATTTGGGAAGTGAACCTGTAAATGAAAGATTTTTCTGTGTGTCTCTCACACTCTGCCTTTTAAATAAGTAAATACATCTTCTAAAAATGAAAGTACTCAAAGACACGACAAAACCAGATCATCTCACAGCTAACCAGATATTTTGCTTGGGAAAGACTGGTTGCTTTTGGGCCTTGTGCAATAACCTAGCAGTTAAAGTCCTCACATTACATGAACTGTGATCACATATGGGCACCGGTTCTAATCCTGCCAGCCGCGCGGCCCATCCAGCTCCCTGCTTGTGGCCTGGGAAAGCAGTCAAGGACGGCCCAAAGCCTTGGGACCCTGCACCCACATGGGAGACCCAGAAGAGGCTCGGGGAACTTGGCTTTGGATTTGTTGCGAGCACTTAGGGAGTGAATCAACAGACATGACAGAAGATCATCTTCTCTGTCTTTCCTCCTCTTTGTATATCTGACTTTCCAATAAAATATATATATATATATATTTTTTTTTTAAAGGACTTTTTTTCTGGTTTCCCTACAGACTATGGGGCTTTGGGCTTCGGCTGATCTTTTGTGGCCACAGGTTTGTGAGCTGTGCTGTGGTCATTCTGGTCTCTTCTTGTCTTCCAGGACAACCCTCCTTATGATAAGGGAGCCTTCAGAATCGAAATCAACTTTCCGGCAGAGTACCCATTCAAACCCCCGAAGATCACATTCAAAACAAAGATCTACCACCCCAACATTGATGAAAAGGGGCAGGTCTGTCTGCCCGTCATTAGTGCTGAAAACTGGAAGCCAGCCACCAAAACCGACCAAGGTAAGGCAGACGTGTTCCCCAGGTGGCATTCTTGTGGGGCAAGGGCTCAGGCTCCCTTGAGTGTCACGTCAGGCATAGAGACCAGAGGGGGCCTGGCTCCCCTGGCAGCCCAGGCCGGGGGAGGGGAGCCCAGGCCCGGGGACTCCCAAGGGCCCGCCCAGCCAGCCTGGTAATTCTTCTCGGTTGAGCTATTGATCTGAACAGGCTCTTGGCAGGCCACTGTCATGGCTAGGCTTTTCTGGGTATGCAGTGTGGGCACTGACCCTGGCGGTGTGGAGGGTGGCAGCACTGCCCAGCATGGAGAGGGAGAGCTGTGTTTACAGTGGGCACACAGCAGTTAACGCCCAGCCTCAGGCGTAACGGAAGAAGCAGGGTGAGGCATGAGCCTAAACAGGGAAGGGGCTGGGGCAGGCTTGCCCCCGATGTCCCGACAAAAGCACCTGAACCCCTAGGGTACTCATAGTGCTGTTCTTCAAAATCCGGCTTTTTAACATTTTTAATATAGTTAAAATGTTGAGAGGGATGCCATCCCTGTGCGGCCTTTGTTTAGGGTAGGGAGGGCTGAGGTGTGGAAGATGAGCAGGACAAATGTTTCAGTTCTTTTTTTACTTTTTTCTTCTTCCTGTGTTTGCTGGCAGGGAAGGGGAGGGAGCCGCTCCTTGCTGTCAGACTGCATCAACACCCGGGGATGAGGGACAGTCTGATGACACCCTAGAAGCCCTGGGGTGGGGACTTGAGCTTTTGTAGTTCTGAGACATTGTTGGCTTCATTGCGCCAGGCTTGAGAAAACCTCTGCAAGGGCTCTTGGCTGATCGAGTTCAATTTAGTGCATCCACAGACCCAGCAGAGTTGTCCAACCTGTTCTGTCCATCCTCTGATGAGGTACTCGATGTCCCCTGCTGGCTAAGTGAGCTGGCTGTCACGTCCCCCATGTGCAGCTGGGCATGCTGTCCACTGGACAGGCATCAGCAGCTGAAGGAGGCCAGTCCCAGTCCGTGGATACACGCACCCCAAGCTCAGACTGCTTAGGTTGTGATTGTTCCCTGTGGCTGAGTCTGAGTCCATCAGTCAAATCAGAGTCCCTCAAGAAATCTCACGTGGGGTGACCTCAGACTTAATGTGTGCCCACTAGTTCCTGGTCAGGATTGGTCCATCACTGGTTCCAGTCACATATCATGCAGACCAGTGAGTGCTGTGGCCAGCCCAGCCCAGGCCAACCTGTGCTTTTATGTGTGCCAGCGTGCACCGCATTCTAGCCTGAGTTGGTCTGCATCCCATCTAGATCTTGTGCACAGACCTCATACCAAGCCCTCATATATGCGGTACCTTGTCTAGCCTGGCCCGCCTCCAGCTGTGGCCTAGCTATTCACCAGCAGAAGCTGCATCCCAGCAGGAAAATGCCCACAGTTCCCCGTTGTCAGCCCTAGATGTTGTGCTGGTCAGGAGGTACTGTGGTCCAGCCTGACATGCCTTGCACCTAATCCTGGCAGTTGCTAGCAGATGCTACAACCTAGTTTGGCCGGCCCATATCCATCCTGGCTCTCACGTGTGCCAGTGGGTTCCTGTGGCCAAGTCTAAGATGGCCTGCTCATAATCTTAGCATTTGCTGCCATGGGCGACAGCCTAACTCAGCCCACCAACCTCTAGTCATAGTCTCATGGGTGGGTGCAATAGTCTAGTCCAGCCTGGACCACCCACAGCCCCAGCGCTCATATGGACTGGTGGCTTTTGCAGCCCAGCCTGGCCTGGCCTGCACCCTTTCCCCAGTACTCATGGGTGGGTACAGTGGTCTAGCCCATGCCCCTCAAACCCCAGCTTATTCTGCGCACCATGGGTGGCAGCAGTACTACTTACCTCAGCCCAGGCCCCCCCCCCCCCGCTCCTCCCCTGTCATGCATATTCTCAGTGGCCCCTATGCCAAGGCCAGCGTATCTGCATGTTGGACACTCTTTTCCTTGGGTAGTCTGTAGCCCCACACCGTTCAGTGTTCCAGGGACAGGGCGGGGTGCCTCAGCCTGGTGTCCCCCCTCCTTCCCTACATCTTTTTTGCTTTTTTAAATTTATTTATTTTTATTAGAAAGTCAGATACACAGAGAGGAAGAGCTTCTGTCTGTTGATTCACTCCCCAAGTGGCTGCAACAGTTGGAGCTGAGCTGACCTGAAGCCAGGAGCGTCTTCTGGGTCTCCCATACCACACGGGTGCAGGGTCCCAAGGCTTTTAACCGTCCTTGACTGCTTTCCCAGGCCACAAGCAGGGAGCTGGATGGGAAGCGGGGCTGGCAGGATTAGAACCGGTGTGTGCAAGGCGAGGATTTAAACTGCTAAGCTACTGGACTGGGTCCTTCCCTACATCTTTAAAAGGAAAAAATTAATAGACAACTATGCTGGCACACTGGTATAGTTAACACAGATTTGGCATTAGCTCGACCAAAATGCCCACCATCTATTGGCTGCTTTTCTCCCTAAAATGCAAGTTGCCTGGGTATAAGGCAGCCTCCGCATTGCCTACAGTGGGAAGTTAGGACCTGTTCAGAGAGTCAATGAGACTGGCATTTGGGAGGCTGTAGGCACAGAGTCTAGGGGACATGGTCCTATTTTCTGGTAGAAATCTGAAAGAAGGAGTTGGAAGCTTTTTCCCAAAAAAGCTTCCCTGGGAAGGCTTCCTGTGGGCAGCAGCTCCTGGCCTCCCTCAGGTGGCCAGTTAGTGGGGAGGGCCCTCCATAGGCCTTCCGCTCAGCATGAGTGGACAACGTTTACAAAAACCTGGCACGGTCATCTCCTCATCCAGGGCTGCTCATGTGGTTGGTATAGTCCTTGTCCTCTTAGTTTTGGGTTAACATGTTACGCTTGGATGTTTTTATGGGGCACAATGTGTTTCTTTCTTTCTTTCTTCCTTTTTTTAAGCTTTATTTTATTTTTATTACAAAGTCAGATATACAGAGAGGAGGAGAGACAGAAGAAGATCTTCTGTCCGATGACTTACTCCCCAAGTGACCACTACGGCCGGTGCTATGCCGATTCAGGAGCCAGGAACCTCTCCCAGGCCTCCCATGTGGATGCAGGGTCCCAAGGCGTTGGGCCGTCCTCAACTGCTTTCCCAGGCCACAAGCAGGGAGCTGGATGGGAAGTGGAGCTGCCTGGATTAGAACCGGTGCCCATATGGGATCCCAGTGTGTTCAAGGCAAGGACTTTAGCTGCTAGGCCATGGCGCCAGGCCCAATACAATGTGTTTCAACACATAAATGCAGTGAATGCTGATCAAATCAATTTGTGGTTCCACTTCCTTGTTTCTTAAAGTTTGGAGTCCTTTGTGTACCTCTCTTCTAATTAGCTGGTGGGTCTTCCATTTTCATATGTTATTTTCATCTACCTGAAAGGCAGGGAGGTCTTTTATTCATTGGTTCACATCCCAGATGCCTGCCTGAGCCAGGCCTGAGCCAGACACTCCACCTGTGTCTTCCGTGTGAGGGTCAGGAGCCCAGGTATGTGAGCCATTCTCTGCTGTCTCGCAGGCTGCCCTAGTGGGAAGCTGAATTCAAAGCAGACTCAGTAGCCAATGAAGGGGCCATTGGATATGGATATGGCAGTCACAGGCAGAGGTTTACCTCACAGTGCCACCATGCCTACCGCTGGACCTGGCACTCCCACGCTGTGGAAGGTGCCAGCAGCTGCATTTGGTGGTTAGTGGCAGGGTGAGGTCAGCCTCGTACCCTGTCTGTTGATCTGCCATGTTGGAGGGCAAGGCACACTGTGCCGGGGAGAGCCGTGCACCTAAACTGCAGCCACAGTGGGTGGAGGCTCCCCAAACACAGACGCAGATACCCAGGTGAGCTGCCCAGCCCCCTCCTCAGAGCTGGTTCAGAGCTTCCCAGTTCTTTGTCAGGTTGTGGCTGCCTTCCCCCACCCCTTTACAGAACCAGATAACCTGTCGACAGTTTTTATTCCTGGCTCCAGTGGGCTTGCTGACTTGAGGGTTTCAAGTTACCTTGTGGTGCAGAGGCTGATGTGTGTATTGAAGGGTGGAGTTGCTGCCACATCGTTTGCAGCTATAGAAAATGATCCCGGTAGTGCTTCCTGGCACCCCCTTGGTCCCACATGCCTGTGTCACTCTGGGCCAGGATGTGCCGGCAGGTGGTGATTCTCACTGGGGTGCTTCTGATCTCTTTGTGGCCTCCCAGGCTCGCTGCAGCAGGAGGGTAAGTCCTGCATAGCCTGGAGGTCTCAGTGCTGTGGAGGGGGCGGGGAAAGCAGAAGGCAGCACTCACTCCTGACTACTGTACTACTGACGCCTTTCTTAAACAGGTTGATTTATTGGGAGCCAGTGCTGTTGTGTAGTGGGTTACACTGCACAGTACTAGCATCCCGTAGGGGTGCTGGTTCAGGTCCCAGGAGCTCCACTTCCAGTCCAGCTCCTTGCTAATGCACCTAGGAAAGCAGTGGAGATGGGCCCGAGTGCTTGGGCTTCTGCACCCACGTGGCAGACAGTCGGAGCTCCTGACTTTGGATCGGTCTAACCGCAGCCATTTGGGGTGTGAACCAGGATGGAAGAGCTCGCTCTCTTTGTAACTCCACCTTTTAAAATAATAATTGTCATTATTATTTTGCAGAGAGAAGGTTTTTCTTTTTTGTTTTTAAGATTTACTTGTTTTTTATTGTAAAGTCAGATTTATAGAGAGAAGAACAGACTGACTTTCTGTCAACGTGGCCATAATGGCCACAGCTGAGCTAAACCAGAGCCAGGAGCCCGGAGCTTCTTCTGGGTCTCCCACGCAAGTACAGTTTCCCAAGGTATTAGACCATCCTGTATTTATATATTTATTATTTTTGTGTATGTTTGTTTGTTTATTTACTTATTTGAAAGGCAGAACACCATAGAGGAAGAAAGAGAAAGCAAGCTCATTTACGTGCTGGTTCATTCTGCAGTGTTCTCGTCGGTGAGGGCCGGCCCATGCCACAGGCTGGGTGTAGTGCTTCCTCTGGGTCCCCAGTGTGGGTGACCCAGAGCCAAGCATTTGTGCCATCTCTGCTGCTGGATCACACACGGCAGCAGGAAGCTGGATCAGAAGCACAGTAGCCAGGGCTGGTGTGGCATTCCGTATGAACTGTGGTTTGCAACTTGGCTGCTGTGCTTCCAGTCCAGCTCTGTGCCATGGCACCTGGAAAAGCCAACAGAAAATGACTCAAGTTCTTGGGCCCCCAGATTCGCATGTAGAAGACCCCAGTGTAATAGCAGCTTCCTGGCTTTGGCCTGGCTGGGAACCAGTGGGTGTGAGATGGATCCTCCTTGCCCCCCTTACACATACATAAACATGCCCCATAACTCTGCCTTTTCAATTTTTTTTTTTTTTTAAACAAAGGCAGAGTAGCAAGACTGGAACTGGTGCTGATAAGGACTGCAGGTGTCCCAAGTAGCGTTTGAATTTGTGGGCCACCACACTCTTCCATTTTTGTTGGACTGTTCATCTGTCAGGTTCAGATTGATAGCAGCAACATTGTACGAAGCCCAGAGTAGAAGTGGTGCCAAAGTGTGCGGGTTGAGGGCTGGAGAGGCCGACTGGGAATGCCACGTGCTCAAGTACTGGCTACCTGAGACCAAGGGAAGGGCTGGCTCAGGCTGTGCCTGTGTAAGCCTGGCAGGTCCTGTGCCTGTTGGCAGAGCTGGTCGTCGAGGCTGCGCCTTCTGCCTGGCTGAGTTTCATTGTTCTGTGGTTACAAATGGACCTGTTTGTTCCTCAGTACTCCTGGTGCCTTTGTGAACAAGTGCAGAAAAGGGAAACCTTTGCATCCTCCACCCTCTTGGCTGGCACCATGAGCGTGGGCAGCATGGTTTCCTGCCACCCTGGAGCTGTCGTTCCCACATTAGAAGGCCTGATACCCCAGAGGGGAAAGATGCATGTCAGGTACGTGGCCTGGTGGCCAGGAAATCCATGCTGGGTAGTAAGGCAGGTCCTTCTAGAACCCACAGACCGAGGTCAGTTCTCGGTCACTGAAGAATGCTGTGAGCAGAGGCGTTTAGGGACAGGGACACACACACACTCCATTTCCCCTGAGAGTGATGATGCAGGCAGTCAATCATTCATTCAGTCTTCACCTCAAAGTTTATAAAACCTAAGAACTTCAAATAGCAGAATTCAGCAGGTCATGGGGTTGGTGAGGACAGGCAACCGAGAGAGGAGCTTCAGGGTTGCTGTGGTCTGGAAGGGGCCATGAGGGAAACGGACAACTTGGTGAATATTCTCAAAACACTGTGTGCTTTTTAAAATTTTCACATTATTTACATAACAGAGGGATGCACACCGTGGTGGGCCTCCAATTAGGATGGGAAGAATCGAGGTTGGAGGAAAGTGGGGGACAAATGTTTCAGGGTGTGTGTTCGTTCGTTCCTGTTTCCAGAGGGGGAGGTAAGGTGCCGTACCTTACTGTCAAACTACATCAACACCCAGGGATGGTGGGTGGTCCTTTGATGATGTCTTCCAAGCCCCAGTGTAGGAAAGAGTATTCCAAGGGTGTTACTTTAGTGGCTTTGTTGCACTATTACTTGCTGCAAAGCTTGGCCAAGAGAGTTGTCCAACCTGTTCTGCTTTTCATGCTGTGACAAGGCAGTTGATGTGCCCTACCTGCCTAGATGAATCGGCCATCGTGTCCCCTCTGGACGTGCACAGGCACCTGAGGCCCATGCACTCAGAGATCAGATCATATATATTAGGATTCCTGTGTCTGGGGTTCGAGACTAGCAGTGTAGTTGGGGAGTCAACCAAGAAACCTCAGCTGGGGTGACCTCAGGCCTGACTCTTGTGTGTACCAGGCAGTGCAGGGTCAGGTTCGGTATGTTGCATGGGGCCAGCCTTTTCTGTGACTGGATGGAGAGATGTATGCTTGTCTCTGTACACACCTTCTGTTGGTGGCTGAGGTGGTGTTGCCACTTGAGTCACTAGCATTCCTTCCTTTTTATAAATCTTTCTGTTGAGAGGTGAGATGATTTAAAGGAGTACAGTAGCTAAACGCTGATTTACTGACTGACCACATGGATCAACAGGGAACAGCGTAATGCCAATGGCATTGTGGGGGGAGCAGAACCTGCTAACTATCAGTGCTGCTCAGCTAGACTATGGAAAAGTACAGAATTGATGCCTCCAGGGCCGGCGTGAGCGGCACCATGGATGATGGGCCATGGGGGGGGGACAGTGTCGTTCCCCTGAGGGTGTAGGGATGTCTGCCTCCCCTTGCCCATCGTGGTCACAGGAGCCTCATTGCCTCTCCCCTGGCGGCAGGGTGGGCCCACACTCCATGTGGTGTGGGTGTGTGACTCAGCCAGCATCGGCACGCTGACCCAGTGCGTGCACAGCGCAGGCTCAGTGTGGGCCTGACAAGGGAGGCTGGCCAGCTGCCAGAGAGCTGTGCTCTTTAGCAGGGACAGCAGTAGGAGGGAGCACCGCACTCCGGGAGTGCTGTCCCTGCCCAGGGGATGAGGGGCCGGAGCCAGAGCCCCGGGTGTGACCACTGTCTGGTGGTGCTGGCTGCTGCTGCCAGCCTCCCTGTGGAGGAGCCGCACTGGAGGGTTCATGAGCAGCTTGGGGTCTCCTAGGGTGCCCTTTCACACCGCTCTTCTTGGGCTTACTCAGTGTGGGGGCCCACTGCCCAGTCCTGCGTGAGTGTGTGTGCACAGGTGAGTGTGTCCATGGTCACCCTCGGGGTCCTGGAGGCAGAGGTGTCCCTTTGTACGGTTGCCCGCTGTGGTCCTGGCTGTTGTTCATCTCTGTCTCCCAGCTGCAGAGGAAAGAGGAGGTGGGCTCTGCTGGCCAGGGTTTCAGATCCATAGGAGGCTGCCTTGTGCTCACGTGCCCCAGGAGGGCGGCCTTGGGCACCCGGGTCTTGGGGGGTCCGCTCCGAGCCGGCTCTGACCCCTCCCCCTCCCTTGTCCTTCTCTCACAGTGATCCAGTCCCTCATAGCACTGGTGAACGACCCCCAGCCCGAGCACCCGCTCCGGGCTGACCTAGCTGAAGAATACTCTAAGGACCGTAAAAAATTCTGTAAGAATGCTGAAGAGTTTACAAAGAAATACGGGGAGAAGCGACCTGTGGACTAACAGCTGCTGCGGAGGATTCCAGCGACTGTGAGCAGAGACCGGAACAGCGCGCTCAGACTCCGCCCAGCGGGACTCTGGGAAACCGACACGTGCCGCCGCCTGGCGCTCGTGGCAGTTACTAACTTTCTACAGTTTTCTTAATCACAAGTGGTCTAGGTAACCTGTAAAGAAAGGATTAAAAATTTCAGATGTTCTAGTTCTGCTTTCTTTGTTTTAAAAATCACCACTTCAATCTGTTTCCAAAAACGGTGTTTCTTTTCTTGTCCAAATTGACCCAAAAAGTTTCAAGTTCCATTTAGCTCAAAGTTTAAATTTTTTTTTTTTTTTTTTTGTTAAGGGTTGTATTTCCCCCACCCCATCCTGTTCCCCTCGCCCCTGTGACTCCTACCTTCTCACTCCCAGCCAGTCAACCCTCAAGGGTTCCCTCCCAGACGCAACCCGGCCTCCCTAATGGAGAATGGCTGGGGCACGGCCAGCGGCCTGTCCACTCCCATGGCACACTACCCCGCATGGAGTTGGTCCAACGTCCGACTTGAGGTGATAGCATCCTTTAAAAAATAAATTAAATAAAAGATGATCCAACAACCACCACCACCACTCCTAACCACCTTCCCTGCCCATGCCATCACCCCCCCCCCACCCCCCGAAAAAAACCTGGCAAGGGAGGCCTCGCTGTTGCATAGAACCTGCTAACGTTGCTGTGTGCGCCACTGAACTGGCCTGTCCCGCCAGACCTCGGGTGACCCTGGAATAGGGCCCGGGGTCCTTCCAACCTGAGGACATTGTCGTTGCCTGCCTTCAGCCATCTTGGAACGTGATGAGCCGTCAGTCACCATGGGCCGAGGGATCCACTTTTTGAGGTTCCATGCCCAGCTGCCACCAAGAACCTGGATGTGCCACGGAGCCCAGCCTCACACCACCAGTTCTCCCCCAGCACGGCACCGCCCTCCGCAGGATTGGGATTGACGGGACTCGGCTTCTGTAGCCAGCACCTATCTGGGGTCGCCAGGACCCCCTGACCCTGCCCTGCTGAGTTCCTCCTTCACAGCTGCCGCCACCATCACCACCCAGTGCAGCCCAGGGACAAGATGGTCTCCTCGCCCCCCTTCAGACTCGCAGCCTCCGCAGCAGAGACCACCTCCGCTCAGCACTCACTCAGTTATATCCTTCTGATGTGTTTTATATTGTTTTGATTGCCTTTTTTTTTTGTAGAAATAAAAATTGACCTTAGAATTGATCACCCACTGAAGCTTGTAGAGGATCTGAATGTTCACGTCTTCTCTCAGCACACAGCAGCACCCTCCTAACCCCCACCAGCCAAATGCCACGTGCTGCCACCCTCGGCGGCTTCCCCTTCTTGGCTGTGGGAAGGGGGCAGGGGCGGTGGGAACTTGAAGGGACTTTGCTTTCTGTTTGGACTTTAGTTCTGTAACTTGGAGATGTTTCCCAGGGCCCCACAGACTTCAAGCCAGCTCAGCCTCATGGATTTTTGCCTGCCCCCAGAAGAGAGTCGGCCCTGGGTCAGTCAGGGTGACGGGACACTGTCCAGAGCACCCCAGCCCTCTGCGCGTCCTCAGTGAACTTGGCTGCTTTTTTAGCTCTAGGAATGCGGTTAAGGGGAGGACAGGTTCCCGGAGATGGTCCTGCGCCTGGGAGGGCAGGAGCCCTGGAGAGGCATTGCCACATCTGTGTCTTCAGTAATTTGTTGCGCTAAGAGCTGTGTTAACAGAAACGCTAAATGCCAGCAGGAGCTCTCTACACAAGCCAGCCGTGCTCTCATTTGCTCTGGAAATTGCTCCGTCACTCCGCATTCCTGCTGGTGGACTCTGCCTGCTGGTGTTCCTCCTCCCCGACCCCCACCACGGGAGAGTGCCCCCGTGCCGGCAGCCCCTCAGGGATGCCTCAGCCCTGGCTCCGGCACCGTTCCCGCTCCTTCCAGCCACGCCCTGGGGCAGGCATTGAACAGGTTGGCAGGTGGGTCTGTCTGCCACCCCCAACCACAAGGCGAGGCCCCCCGGGAGAAGGGGACAGTCACCGCTGGCCCTGGTGGACTCAAGGGAGTCCACACTCGCCTGATTGTGGCAGGTATGCCGCGTCCTCACCCTGCACGCCCACCATGCTGGGGTAGGCTGTATGAGATGTGGCCATCCCGTTCTGCCCTCAATAAAAATACTCTCCAACACTGAGCCAACCGTGTGGGCTTCTTCCTTCCCTGGGGTGGCTGGGGCCTCTGATTTCTCTCCATCCGCCCCCCGTTCCCAGAGTGGGCATTGAGCCCAGCGTGAAGACGCCCACATCCGAGTTCCTGGCCCTGCTCCTGTCGTCGGCTTCTGCTGCACACACCCCCTAGGAGGTACTTGGGCTTTCCTGTCTCCGCATCTACTCTTACTACCCCTGTGCTCCCTGCAGTCTGCCCCCTGGCACCTTCCTACCCACCTCTGGCCAACAGCCCCTGAGGCTTCGCAGTGCCTGTGAGCTGCTCGCATCTCCGGCAGCTGGCATCCTTGCTCACAGACCAGGGACCCACTCACACGAAGGGGAAGGATCGCCCAGCAACACCACATGGAAGCCCTGGAGGAGGAGATGCCCTTGGACTTCACACATTACTACGGTTCCTGGTTCCTTCCCGACTGCAGTGTGCCTGGGGCCACGCCAGCCGGTCTGCATTCTAGACCACTCTCGGGGCAGGCTGTGGCCCAGCACAGGCCTCACCCTGATGGATAGCCACTTGCAGGAGCTACCCTACTCCCCAGCAAGGATCACATTAAAAAGAAGATGCCCTGCAGCGCCCCATGGGCCACAAGGGTCCCCAACAAACAGTTCTTTTTTGAGACTTCTTCGCTCTTAAATGCTCTTTTAACCCTGGTTGGTCTTAGCCCCCTTCCGTACTCACTCCTATACCACCCTAGGTAACAGCTATCCCCCAGGCCTCAATCCAACAACTGCAGATCCCTGCCCACCCATCTCTTCCTCCCCCTGAGCCTTGGCACCTGCAGCCCATAGCTGCCTCCTGGAGCAGTATTGGCAGCAGGTGGCCAGACCACATTGGCCTAGGGGAGCAACCCAGGGTCCCCACAGGTGGGAGGGCAAGCCAGAGGTTCTGTGAAGCGGGGAGGTGGCAGGCAGCATGGGAGATGGAGCCTAGGAAGAGGGATGGATTGCAGCCAAAGGCCAGGAGCAGAGGAAGATGCTGCCTGAGCCAGAGCTCCCTTCACCCTCGTTCATGAAGGTGCTGGCAGGTACCGCACCCTGGTTGCCACTCCCCACCCTCCAGGCTTTAAAAGCAGGGTGACCCTGGGCACCAAGCACTGAGGCATGAAACTGCAGGAGACGGATCACGTGGCGTTCTGGGCACAGGGACATCCCCTACGTCTTGGGGGTCCCTCTAGTGGCCCTGGTGTGATGTTCGTGCCAAGAAATTGGGACACGGGGGATGCAAAGGCAAGTTGAACCAGTGTACACTTTATTGAATTTTTCTGGGGCAACTATACCAGTTTTTTGCAAAGCAAGCAGGCTGGTAAAAGTTCCAACTTACACAATAGCATACAAGCTGCTCTACCCAAGGGACTTGGAAAACTCACCAGGTCTCAAGCAACAAGATAAGTAAACATGAGTTACAGGAACCACTACCGGAAACAAACAGATCTAACTAGAAAAGAAATCCAACAGAATTTTTGTTTGTGCTCAGGTATGTTCAAGCCACAATCACTAAAGAAACCTCTCCAGGCACGTTCAGCCAGTGAGGTGGCCACAGTCTCAGCAGGAAGTTTGCTTCCTGCACAACGCTGTCTGCCCAGAATGTCTGAGATTTGCGGTCCCTTGGACATTTGGTGATCTGGCTCAGGGGGCAAATCTCCACAATTAGCACATCTCAACACCCACCTCTTGGGAAGGACGAGGGCTGATACAAGCCGCGGGAGCCCAGGACATCGCGTGGGCTGCCAGGCCCTGCTCAGAGTCCCAGAATTCCACTTGTGATGGTTGTCCCAGCTGCAGGAGCTCCGACACGGGACCCAGAGAGCTGGTAGGCCCCCCTAGGATGTGTCATCCACTCACTCACCCCACCCCCAGAACCACGTACTGGGAGCTGGGGACTCTGCCTCACCATGGAGATGACAAACTCACCTTTCCTGAAAGCAGCTCCACCACCACAGTCTTTTTCCACTCTCTCCCTTCCCTACTGCACCACCCCACCCCCCACCACCAGGGGGAAAAAATCCAGAACAAGCTAAGCAGGAATCAGAACTGACTGCACTGCATCTTTTCTCTGGGATATTCACCCCGGCTTTGTGTCCCTGAAGGTGGGGCGGGGCATGTGTGCAGGGGCACACACAGCCAATGAGCTCCCCTAGTTTGAAAAGAGAATGTTTTATTAACATGCCCCATCTGCCCACTGCCCTCACTGCCCTTTAAACCATTAGGGGCTTTTTCCAGGCCTCCCTGCACCCCAATTCTCTGCACCCGCCTGAATCCCACCCCATCACAGGCTGAGCATCTCCCAGAGGAGATGTCCCCTGCTCTGGGTGTCGCTCTGAGCCAGCCAGGGCCTGGAAACACAGCTTGGCAGCGAAAGTCCCAAGCCCCTGACTCCAAGGGACCCGCGTCCTGACGCTGTCCAGCCGTGGAGCTCGGTCCCGTCCTCCCTCTGCACTAAACAGGCATCAGAGTTTGGCTCTCTCCAGTCGGGTTCAAGGTGGGGAGGGCTGCAGAAAGGGGTCCAGGGTGGCCTCACAGGGCACCCCATCCCCACGTCTCTTGGAGTCCAGGGAGTCCAGGGCACAGAGCTGAACCCCGTCCTGGGCAAGCCGGGCCGACAACGTGGGCGCCGTGAGGACCCGTAGCTCATGCAGCCGCTCCCAAGAGCAAGAGAAGGCGTCGGGGCCCTCTCCGCAGCCCCCGAATGGAGGCACGCTGGGGTAGCCGGGGTGCGCCATCAGCTCAGCCGTCAGGGCATGGCCCGCGGGGACGCCTTCCAGGGCCCGCGCCAGCGCCCCCAGAAGGTGGTGCGTGGACATGTGCCGGCCGCAGGTGCTCAAGCCCACGAAGGCGTCAGTCCACCTGCGGGAGGTGGGGACAGCGGCGGCAGTGATGGGGTGGGGGTCCAGGCGGAACTGGAATGGAAGCAGCTGGTCCGACTCGGCGCCCCAAGTCGAGAGGTGACCATCAATAGGCAGGTGGGTTAGTGGGGTCAAGAGCCGATACGGAATGTGTTGGGGTTGAGGTGGGATACCAAGGTTACTCACCGGAGGCCGTGACGAGAGAAGGGGCCCACAGCGGCGAGGGCATCGCGCTCCACCATGCAGGCGAAGGCGCGCGCGGGGGCCTCTAGCCACGCACAGCTGCCCACGCCACGCTCCAGCGGCAACCGTGTGAAACGCACGCCAGCAGCCTGCAGCGCCTCAGCGAACACCTGGCACACACCTGTGGGGGAGTGAGGGAGAGGCTCAGAGAGGAGCTGGGACCCCCACCCGGGCCCGGAGAGCACCAGGCACACACCTGGCACACATTTGGCACACACCTGCGATGCCGTGGCGGGGGAGGCTCGGAGAGGAGCCGGGACCCCCACCCGGGCCCGGAGAGCACCAGGCACACACCAGGCACACATCTGGCACACATCTGGCACACACCTGGCACACACCTGCGATGCCGTGGCGGGGGAGGCTCGGAGAGGAGCCGGGACCCCCACCCGGGCCCGGAGAGCACCAGGCACACACCAGGCACACATCTGGCACACATCTGGCACACATCTGGCACACACCTGGCACACACCTGCGATGCCGTGGCGGGGGAGGCTCAGAGAGGAGCCAGGACCCCCACCCGGGCCCGGAGAGCACCAGGCACACACCAGTAACACGCGTGCAGGGTCGCGGGAGGGAAGGCTCGGAGAGGAGCCAGGACTCCCACCCGGCCCGGAGCGCACCACCGCTCCCCCACCCCGCGCACCTGGGAGCACGTGCACGTGCTGGTGGCCGTCCACATGCGTGGGCGCTCGGCCCAGCAGCTCCCGGAACCGGCTGAGTTGGGCTTCCAGCTCCTCCCGCACCTGCGGCAAAGCCACCTCTCCGGCCGCCACCGCCTCCCGGAACCCCATCTTGCCCAAGAAGAAGCCTTCGCGGCCGAGCAGCGACGAGGAGCCGTGGCGGGCCGGACCCACGGGGCGGCCCTCGGACAGGTTGGCGTGCAGGCCTGTCGGGATGCCGTGCCTGAGGGCGGGGAACGTGGGGTGTCACAAGCTTGGCTAGGGGCGGCGGAGGTTCCCCCGGGGGACCCCAGGACAAGGCGAGCGGGAGCCCGGCCCCCCACACACACCACCTCCAGGCAGACACCTGCGAGCCAGCTGGGCCGCGCTTTCGGCCGCAGTGCCGTTGACCAGCAGGGACACGCTGGTCACGGTGCCGGCCAGGAAGGCCTCCACGATGCCTTGGTCGCGCCGCGGGCAGTAGCCAAAGTCGTCGGCGGTGACCACCAGCCGCACGCGCGGCCGGGACACCGCGGCCATCTCCTCCCGGCGCGCGCGCAGCCGGGCTGTCCAGGGCCAGGGGGCGGGGCAGCGCGCCAAGCCCCGCCCCCAGCACGCGCCCGGCCCCGCCCCGTCCCGGTGACGCCGAGGCCCCGCCCCCAGCACGCACCCGGCCCCGCTGCTCCCGGCCTTTGTTATCGCCATCTAGCGGACGCGGAGCGGCACTGCAACGTCTCCATCCGCTGTCAAATGAGTCTGAATAATGAACCCTAGAGAACTCCATACTTAATAACACACGCATATAGATTCATACGCACAAAATCTCACACACCTGATGGGGAAAAATGTCTCCATTAACCCTGAGGTCAACTATGAATTTCTCTGGTAATCTCTCCAACTCAAATTTTTCTTCCTTTTTAAAAAAAGATTCATTTTACTTTTATTGGGAAGTCAGATATACAGAGAGGAGGAGAGACAGAGAGGAAGATCTTCCGCCCGATGATCCACTCCCCAGGTGGCCGGAGCTGAGCCTATTCACAGCCTGGAGCCTCTTCTGGGTCTCCCACGCGGGTGCAGGGTCCCAAAGTTTTGGGCCATCCTCGACTGCTTTCCCAGGTCACAAGCAGGGAGTTGGATGGGAGGTGGGGTCGCTGGGATTAGAACCAGCGTCCATATGGAATCCTGGCGCATGCAAGGCAAGGACTTTAGCTACTAAGCCACGGCGCTGGGCCCAATTTTTTTCTTATCTTCTTTAGAGAAGATGAATAAACGATCCCATGAGTGTCGTCTCGCCATTTTTCTTTTTAAAGATGTATTTCTTTGAGAGGCAAAGTGACAAAAGGGCCACAGAGACGCATGGGATCTCCCACCTGCTGACTCACTGCCCAAATGGTTGTCACAGCCAGTAGCAGTCCTGGCAGAAACCAGGAAGCCGAGAAGAACTGCATCTGGGTCTCCCATATTGGGACCCCAAGGACTTGGGGTGGAGGGAGGGAGTGTGTCTGCTGCTGCTTTTCCCAGGCAGGGAACCGGATCAGAGGTGGAGCTGCCAAGACTCCAACCAGTGCTTGGCTGTGGCTGCCGCTTAACCTGCCTGCTGTGCCATAGCACCCTCCCCCTTATGTCATTCTGCTAATTCCATGAACTTTTCCTATGGGATTAGCCACTTCTCTTTTTAAACTTTACCTGTTGGGTTTCATGAGCGTGATCTTAAGCCACCCTCATTTTCCACTGGAAAGACAGGTATGCTGGAGCACCTTCTGGGTGCCACGCACTGGGTTTTAGGAGTGACAGCCTCAGGCCCTGTGCATCTGCTGGGCAAAGAATGCGAGCTCTGGCAGCCTGGGCACCTAGTGATGGACTCTCCAGGGAAGTCTCCCCAAGGAGATGGCAAGTTGCCTAGTGATGGAGGGGGAGGGTATAGATTTGGTGTCCCCAAAAGTTGGAGGTCGGGACAGATGAGCCAGGATGAGCCGCGTCTCCCCAGCTAACCCCACTTGGCACCAGGGGATTGGGGACGGAGGCGGCAGGGTTCCGAACCCCGCCCAGCTGGGGAGGAACCCACGCCGGCCACGCCCACCCTGTCCATTGTGTCGGGGCTAGTAACCGGCGACCACCCCAGCTGGGAGCCAATCGGGACGCGCAAAGCAAACGGACCAGCTCTGGCCACTGAAGCGCGGAGCTGTGGTCCAGCTGGACACTCGGCGCGAGGCCGCGCACGGCGGGCCGGGTCTCAGGTGGGCGTGCACCCACCTCCAAGCCGGGACAGGTACCAGGGCTCTGGGTTCTGGAAGGAGACAGGGGCCAGACGCACCCAGGGACCTAGAGAGATGGTCGGAGACCAGATGACCGCAAGACCAGACTATCCGTGGATGCCTGGACGGACGCTCACCCCCCCTCACCCCTATCCTGCTGCAGAGGGGATTCCGGCAACTGCGCTGTGCAATGCACGAGGAAGCAGGCGGGCAGCAGCGCACCATGGCCAGTTTCCGCTACCACTCGGGATACCTGGCCGATGATGAGGCGGCCCACAACCCCTACGTGGCTCGGGTAAGGGAGCCCAGTCAGGACATTCCCTGATTCTGGAGCTGGGGTCCAGGCAGGGCTGCGGGTGTCCCAGTGTGTTGCCCACGGGCCACAGCTGTCCTCTCCTGGGGTTGGTTTGCAATTTAACCTCCACGTCCAGCCTGCCTAGTTCCTAGGCCTTTCCTCCCATAACCCTCCCCTCTGTCCTAGCAGAGCCTCTGGCCATCAATGGTCCATGAGGGCGATGTGCTGGCCCAGGTTTGCAGGTGCAGAAGCAGCTATGAGACCTAGGGAGCTCTGGGCTCCCCGGGGAGGTGGAGAGGGGCCAGGGGCGCCCCTGCCAAGCACCTTGCCTTCAAGAGCACTCTAAAATGAACCACTTTGGGTGAGGAGATGGGACCTTGAAGAGCCATTGTGACTGCTGTCATGCAGCCTATAGGTGACAAGAGGTAGGCTTTGCCTGCCTCTAATTTGCAGCTCCTTCCAGTGCTTGCTCCCCTTTTAGTTCTGTTATTATAATTTGAAAGGGAAAATTGCTGGATTGGGGGAGAGCTTCCATCCACTGGTTCGCGCCCCCAAGTGGCCGCTATGGGGAGAGCTGAGCTGATCAAGAGCCAGGAATTTCTCCCATATGGGTACAGGGTCCCAAGGCTTTGGACCATCCTCTACTGCTGTCCCAGAACACAAGCAGCGAGCTGGATAGGAAGTGGAACAGCTGGGATGTGAACTGGTGCTCGTATGGGAGCCCAGTATTGCAAATAACATCTTAACTGGTGATGCCATAAGGCTGGGGTAGGGCATTGAGGTCTTAATGGGAGCCACCCCAGGGACCTCTGAGCGCTATTGGGCTTCCCTGCTCACCAGTGCTCTGCCTGTCTGCCCAGATGCCAGCCTGCAGGAAGCCGATGCTGCCGCGGATGGAACCCGTGTCCCGGGTAGGCTGCAGGTCGGCCCCGCGGTGGACGCCAGGCTGCTCGGGGCAGCGGGCAGCTGCTCACAGGAACCCCAAGGGTCCTCAACCCTTCGGCAGCTTCCTGGATTTTCTGACGGAGGGCCAGGTGCTGGAGAGCCTGCAGACGGTGGTGGAGGAAGCCACTGAGCGGGTAGCCGGCATGAAGACCGGGGCCGGCACACCGCTGGTGGAGGTGCAGGACCCGGTGCCCAGCAACGGCAGTGGTGGCGGTGGGCGGCGGGCTAGGGCCCGGCCTTCCCTGAGCACAGTCCGCCGGCACCGTGTTCAGCCAAGCCTCTGTGTGGGACGCCCCAACAACTACCCATCCCGCTCCAGCTCTCTCTCTGATTCTGCCGCAGCAGCGGCCGCGGCAGCAGCAGGGGGCTGGTTAGGGCCGCATAGCCAGGACAGCGAGCTTGGGACCAGAGGCTTGCTGCCCCCCGTGAAAGACCAGCTACTGCTGGAGAAGAACCTCAGGCGGCTGCTGCGTCTGGAGAAGAAAGGGGTGAGGTCTGGGAGCGGGGTGGGCAAGGTTTGGAGGGATGGGATGCAGGATGTTGGGCACCTGTCAGCACCCCTCCTCCCCCTGTCTACAGAGATGCTTGAGTCATTCCTCCCCGAAGGACTCTCTGGACAGCCAGACCAACCACCAGTGGCCACCGGAGCAGCCGCTGTCCTGGTTCTCCGGCCTGCTGGGCTCCAGCACTGGGACCCCGGAAGCGTCGGAGCAAACCCTGGGCGAGGAGGAGCTGACCCTCCTGCAACGTGAATTGCATAAGAAGATCAAGTCGCTACTGAGCCAGCCACCTGCAGCAGCAGCAGCGGCAGGGGCAGCTGAGCTGCCTGGCTACTGCTCTCTGCGCCAGCCACACTGTGCCTTGGATTTCCTGGCCCAGCACCATCTGCTCGCTGCCCTGCAGAACGTTGTCAGCCAAGCTGTAGACAAGCTCAGCGGCGCCCGCCGCCGCGACGGCTGCCCTCTCTTCGCCGCCAAAGCTGCTGAACCCTGTTCGGGTCTGGCCCTAGGCCCGACGCCACCACCACCACCTGGAGACTCCCAGCCGGCCTCACCTTCCGACAAAGACTACTACTACTACTGCTATCCCTCGCCTCCCACCATCACCTCCGGCCCCAAGGTGGAGCAGAAGCGAAACAAGAGCAGACAGGGCTCCCCGTCCACGCCTGGTGCCCCGGTGGCCACCAGGTTCAAGCTCAAGGTGAAGCCCGTGGAAGAGCCCTCTCCACACCCCCAACAGGAGGGGCTCACCCCCATCCCGGAGTTGCCAAGACCACCCCCCACAGCATCTCTGCACCCCCAGTACAGGGCCCAACCCCGGCGGGGCCTGCACCTTACACTCCCTGCCCCTGGTGTGGTGGTAGAGGTGGCCTCCGGCCTAGCATGCCTCAGGGGTCCTGTCACGCCCCCGCTCCTATCTTCCTGCCCCTCATCCTCCTCCTCCTACTTGATCGCTGTGCCCTCCTCGGACACCTCGGAAGGCAGGAGTCTCTCCCAGTCTTCCATGGCGCTGTGCCCGGGATTGTATTCTGTGAGAGTAGAGCGGCAGAACGTGGGGCCCAGACAGCATGGGCAGGGCCTCTGTACCCATCCCCACCACCCCTAGTCCGCCCTGCCACCAGCAAGGTACCTCAAGTTCAAGACCCGTGACCCGGCACTGCGTATTCCTCCTGGGCAAAGGAATGAGGTCAGGAAATCCAACCTGGCTGCTATCACAAAAATAATAAAGATTATTTTTTATTCTGGGTTTTTTTTTTTTTTTTTTTTTTTACTGGAAACATTTGTAGTGGATCTCGGTAGCTCTGCCACATGGGACTGTATCTTCTCCTCCCTCGTTCATGGTGGCCTTGGACCAGAGCATGCCCATTACCATTACCCTGCATCTGGTCTCCCCCTAACACAGGTGGGCAGGACTGGCTCTACTGTGCTGCAGGGGAAAGTGGCCAGGACACGGGGGAAGGCAGCAGCCTCATGTGGTTGGGTTGCCCAGCGCAGTCCCTCCTCATCCCACTCCCTTGCTCTCTGCCATCCATGCCCCCCCGGGAGCACCACTTGTTCCCTCTGAGTATGAGTCAGCCAGGTCTGAGCACTATGTGGCAGTGACATGATTTCACAGTCATGGGGTAGCTTGTTGAGTGTGACAGCATCATTGATCCTGGCCAAGGCAAGCCCAGCATCCACCATTTGAGGGTGCCGTGGCAGGCAGGAGACCGGGTGAGGTTGGGGTACGGTGCAGGATGGGGGGGTGTCAATGATGACCTGTCTGCTTTGTCCCCTTTTTCCTCGGCTGCCATGTCACCACAGAGCTCCAACAGTAAGTTCTCCACCAAGAAGCCGCTGCCCTCCATCTCCCCCAAATCCAGCCTGACCAGTCCGACGCAGCTGGCTGACCCCTGGTATGAAGAGATCGCAGGCTTCCTGGCGGAGCGCGCCGTCTCCCTGCTCATCTGCAAGTACAAGTTCGAGAGCAACCTGGGCAAGAAACTGGGTTTCCTCTCCTTTCCGGTCACGGAGGCCCTGGTGGACCTGCTGTTGGGTTTCAAGAAGGTCAAGGGCTCTCGCCTCCTGCTGTCTTCTCAGACCGACTGGAGCAGCCTGGTGCACAGGCTGGAGGGTGTCAAGCCCAGGAAGCCGGCGTTGCGGCATGCCATGCAGCCCGGGAGCTTGCAACACCACGGGGCGCCCGCCGCTGCCGCCAGCGCCAGTGCCAGTTCCACAACCAGGCCGGCCGAGCTGAGCGGCACCCTCAGCCGCGAACGGGCCACCGAGCCGGTCTTCTCCTCGGACACTGAACTGCTGAGTCCGCAGGAGTCCACGTCCCCCGACCGGCAAACTGCGACCAGCCTGTCGGAACCCAAGTTCTCCATGTCTTCCGCTGTGGGCGTCAGCCCCCTCAAATCCAAGGAGAGGTTCCAAGTGGAGAACAGCGAGGGCAGTGAAGGTGACCAGGGTGCTTATGACAATGAAGGTGGCCAGAAGGACGAGGAGGAGGGGGCCGGGGCCCTGAACCCCGACGAAGTTGGTATTATTAGCCACTATGTGAACCTGAACCACATGGGTCCCCCATGAGGCCTCTGCATGTTAAAGACCTCCCTTCCCTCTCCCCTCCTCCTGCTTCAACCCTGTAGGAGTGATGGCCACCCAGCTGGCCCTCGCCCTGCCAAGCCTGCCCTGGTCAGCTATGCTCAGATTCGCAGGCGGATCCAACGAGAGAAATCAAAATAAAATGTGCTCTATGAACTTAGTTCTGTCTGTGTCGTTTCAAGCGTTATTTATTCGAAAGACAGAGTGACAGGGAGGGATTGTCCATTTGCTGGCTCACTGCCCAAGTGGTTTGCATGGTCAAGCTGAATCCGGCAGCTTTCTCTGGATCTCCGAGGTGAGTGCCGGGGTCCAGGGGCTTGGGAACCACCCCCCCCCCCAATGTTTTACTGCCTTCCCAGGTGGATCAGCAGGGTGCTGGATGGGAAGTGGAGCAGCTAGGACATGAACTGACTCCCATAAGGGATCCTGGTACCTGCAAGGTGGAGGATTAGCCAGTTGTGTTGTGTTGGACCCTAAAACATTTTTTTTTTAATTTAAGGAAATAAAAGATTCCCTGTAGGTGAGACACTATGATTTAAAAAAAAAATAAGAGGGAGGGAGCCATTGAGACCCCAAAGGCTAAGACATAAGTGCTGAGGTCAAGAGATGAACCGTGGAAAGTCCCCTCGGAGGGGTGGCTGCGGGAGGAGGCAGGCGTGTCTGCTTTGGCCTTGTCAAATGTCCACGTGTTCACACATTGGCAGGCATCCCCGTTTCCCCCAGCAGGTCTTTAAGCCATCTAGACTTCCTGGGTGTTGCAAATCTCAGGGTGCCTTAGCTCATACTTAACTCCAAAACAAGACTGAACACTTTATTTTTTGATATTTATTTTTTCTTGTGCCCAGCGCGGTGGCCTAGCAGCTAAAGTCCTTGCCTTGAACATGCCAGGATCCCAGTTGGGCACTGGTTCTAGTCCTGGCGGCCCTGCTTCCCATCCAGCTCCCTGCTTGTGGCCTGGGAAAGCAGTTGAGGACGGCCCAAAGCCTTGGAACACTGCACCCGCGTGGGAGACTCAGAAGAGGCTCCTGGCTCCTGGTTTTGGATCGGCTCAGCTCCAGCTGTTGCAGCCTCTTGGGGAGTGAATCATCTGATGAAAGATCTTCCTCTCTGTCTCTCTGTAATTAAGCTCTGGCATTTTAGCCCCCTACTGTCCCGTGCTGACGCTTGGGGACCAGGAGCCCAAGGTCACAGTGCATGAGGGGGCACGTGACAGAAAGACCCCCGAACAAACAGGGTCAGTCATCCCCGGGGCCTGAAGGGCCAGCGGGATTGGCGGGCATCCGTTCCCCTGTGACCCGCGCTTGAAGGCCCGGGGGAGCCCAGGATCGAGCCATGGCTGAGGTAGACGCGCGAGGCCGGGCAAGGGGCAGCGCGGGGCGCCCTCACTCGCAGGTGCGCGCCGCCTCCTCGGCCGCTCATTGGGGAACGCTCAGAAGCGTGGCCCAATCCGAATCCTCCTCGTGTTTCCAGCCCGCCCCCTCCCGCCAGCTCTGGGCGTGTCCCCTTGCAGGCACGACCCAATGGCGTCGCCGAAAGAGAGCCGCGCAGCCCGGCGATTGGCTGTGGCGGGCGGGCGCTGTCAGAGGCCGATTGGGCCGCGGGCGAAGACGGAAGCGGCCGTGGGAGCCTAGCGGCGGCTTCTGCGAGCCGGCGCGATGTGGAGCGCGGGCGGCCGCGCCGGGCTGTTGGGGCCGAGGCTGCTGGGGCTGCCGCTGGGGCCGCTGCTCGGGCTGCTGGTGCTGCTGGGGCTGCCGGGCCGGGGCGCCGCCAAGACGGGCGCGGGCTTCGTGACTTGCGGGTCGGTGCTGAAGCTGTTCAACACGCACCACAGAGTGCGCCTGCACTCGCACGACATCAAATACGGATCCGGTGCGCGGCGGGACCCGGGAGGGCTGGCTGTGGGACGACGCGGGGTGTGTGTCCCCCAGAAGGCAGGGGGTGGTGTGGGGGTGCATGACGCGGGAGCCGGAGCCTGACACCAGGACTGGGGTGTGTGTGAGTGTGTGTGTCCCCCAGAAGGTGGAGGGTGGTGTCAGGGTGCATGACGAGGGAGCCGGAGCCGGACACCAGGACTAGGATGTGTGTGAGTGTGTGTGTCCCCCAGAAGATGGAGGATGGTGTGGGGGTGCATGACGCAGGAGCAATGCCTGACACCAGAACTGGGGTGTGTGTGTGTGTGTGTCCTCCCCAGAAGATGGAGGGTTGTATTGGGGTGCACGATGCTGGAGCCGGAGCCTGACACCAGATTGGGGGGTGGTGTGTCCCCCAGAAGGTGGAGGGTGGTGTGGGGGTGCATGACATGGGAACCCGGACGCTGACACCAGGACTGGTGTGTGTGTGTGTCCTCCCCAGGGTGTGTGTGTGTGTGTGTGTCCCAGAAGGCGGAGGGTGGTGTGGGGGTGCATGACGCAGGAGCAGTACCCTGACACCAGGACTGGGGTATGTGTGTGTGTGTCCCCCAGAAGGCGGGGGGTGGTGTCAGGGTGCATGACGCGGGAGCCAGAGCCTGACACCAGGACTGGTGTGTGTGTGTGTGAGTGTGTGTGTGTCCCAGAAGGCAGAGGGTGGTGTGGGGGTGCACAATGCTAGAGCTGGGAGCCTGACACCAGGACTGGGGTGTGTGTGTGTTTGTGTCCCAGAAGGCGGAGGGTGGTGTGGGGTGCACGATGCTGCAGCCCAGAGCCTGACACCAGGACTGGGGTGTGTGTGTGTGTGTGTGTGTGAGTGTGTGTGTGTGTCCCAGAAGGCGGAGGGTGGTGTGGGGGTGCACGATGCTGGAGCCCGGAGCCTGACACCAGGACTGGGGTGTGTGTGTGTCTGGGGGTGTCTCTCTGCAGGCAGCGGCCAGCAGTCGGTGACCGGCGTGGAGGCATCGGACGACGCCAACAGTTACTGGCGGATCCGTGGCAGCGTAGACGGCGGCTGCCCACGTGGGGCCCCAGTACGCTGCGGGCAGGCGGTGAGGCTCACGCATGTGCTCACGGGCAAGAACCTGCACACACACCACTTCCCGTCACCGCTGTCCAACAACCAGGTAAAACACCCCTCCTGGGGTCCCTGGACCCCCTTTCCCACCTCCACCCCCAGGCCTTAGCCACTGAGTCGAGAGGGAGCTCCTGCCTCCCCCTACGGGGTAGTTTCCAGTTCTTCTAAATTTGAAATTCACAGATGCGGATGGGGCTCACGGGACTGCCAGGGGCTCTATTGCTGGGGAGTCCTCCAGGACTGGGGGTTCGGGGTGGGAGGTGCCAAACCTGAGAGGGATAGGAAGAGTCGGTGTGGGATTCAGCCTCAGTCAGTCTACAGGTGGGTAGAGAAGGCATCAGTGGAGGACAGGGGGTCCAAGGCGTCTCCCTGCTCCCCACCTCGCACAGCCCCCCACGATTTGCAGTGGTGGAAGTTGAGGCTCACTCGGAGAGGGAGAAGGGGAGAGGAGCAGACGCAGGGTTCCCCAGTAGGGCTAGCCTGCCCACTTCCAGGCAGATGGCCCTCAGGGCACAGTTCCCCTACTCTTCCATTACCTACCCCAGGATGTGGGGGTGTCCCCCTGCGGTGCCCACTGACACCCTGCACCACCCCACAGGAGGTGAGCGCCTTTGGGGAGGCCGGTGAGGGCGACGAGCTAGACCTGTGGACCGTGCGCTGCTCCGGGGAGCACTGGGAGCGGGGCTCCGCCGTGCGCTTCCAGCACGTGGGCACCTCCGTGTTCCTGTCGGTCACCGGCGAGCAGTACGGGAACCCCATTCGCGGGCAACTCGAGGTGCATGGCATGAGCAGCGCTAACACGCACAACACCTGGAAGGCCATGGAAGGCATCTTCATCAAGCCTGGACCCGAGCCCTCTGGTGGTCACGACGAACTCTGAGCAGGGGTGGGTGGGGAGGGATGGCTGGCTGGCTGGACAGACGGAGGGTGCCAGGGTGGGTTTGTGGGGGATCCTTAAGTGCCTTTGTGATTAAAGAATGTCCATCTGCGATTGTGTGTGAAGGGGTGGGGGGAGAGGGATGGGTCCAAACTCACCAGCCCTGGACCTCATTCTGGCAGCCTGGATGCCTGGCCTTGGCCAAGGGCAGGGCGAGGACGTCTGTCCTGCCGGGAGTCAGCACCGTGGAGTGCCCTTGCCCTTCAAACAGGTGGTGCTGTCATCCCTCCCCTAGCATGTGTAGCATCTCAGGCTCCCACCGTGACCTTCCCAGGTTCCAAAGTTGACAGAACCTCAAGGCATGCTTATCACAAGGGTCCCTGGCGGGCACCCCCATCTCCCCTTGCTTCCCAGGCAGGACATCCCACCGCTAGAGCATGGTGGCCTCTAGAGGTCAGGACGGGTATTACATGCTCCTGTTTGAGGGACAGACAGTTGGACCTCGCCAGGGAGAGGCTGCCCAAGCCTGAAAAAGAACTGTGAGTACAGGGCAGGAGTGGGCATGAGTAAGTGTTTTTTTTTTTTTTCTAAATTGGAAAGTCAGATTTACAGGGAGAAGGAGAGACAGGAAGATCTTCCATCCACTGGTTAACTCCCCAGGTGGCCACAACAGCCGGAGCTGAGCCAATCTGAAGCCAGGAGAGTCTTCCAGGTCTCTCACACGGATGCAGGGTCCCAAGGCTTTGGACCGTCCTTGACTGCTTTCCCAGGCCACAAGCAGGGAGCCGGATGGGAACCAGCGCCCATGTGGGATACGGGTGCATGCAAGGCAAGGACTTTGGTCACTAGGCTACTGTGCTGGTCCCCATGTGTAGGATTTTTGAGTCTGCCTCTTCCTCCTCCCTCCCCGAGACCCCTTCTGTCCTTCACTCCAACCTTTCTGATTTGTTTATGCATCTGAAAGGCACAGTAGCAGGGAGAGAGGACATTATCGCCTCCCGTCCGCTGGTTCATTTCCCCTCACCCCTCAAGCAGCTGCAGTGGTCAGGGCTTGGTCCAGGCCAACGTCAGGAGCTCAGAACTCCTATGGGGATGGCAGGGGCCCAAGCACTTGGACCCGTTCCCACTGTCTTCCCAGGCATGTTAGCAGGGAGCAGGGATGCTGGTAGAGCAGCTGGGGCTTGAACTGGTAGGCTGCTGCCGGATCTCCTGGGGCAGAGCAGGCTGAGCCTCTGCCAAAGTCACCAGCATTGCCTAGGGCACCAGTTCAAGTACCAGCTGCTCCACTTGCAATCTGGGAAAGCAGTAGAGGACAGGCCAAATGTTTGGGACCCTGCACTCACATGGGAGATGTGGAAGGAACTCCTGGCTCCTGGCTTTAGATTGGTTCAGTTCCGGCCATTGCGGCCACTTGAGGAGTGAATCAGTGGATGGAAGATCTTTCTGTCTCTCCTCTCTGTGGAAGTCTGCCTTTAAAATATAAGGGCCCAGCGTGAAAGCCTAGCAGCTAAAGTCCTCGCCTTGAATACACTGGGATCCCATTTGAGTGCCAGTTCTAATCCTGGTGGCCACCTTCCCATCCAGCTCCCTGCTTGTGGCCTGGGAAAGCAATTGAGGACGGCCCAAAGCCTTGGGACCCTGCACCCACGTGGGAGACCTGGAAGATACTCCTGGCTTCGGATTGGCTCAGCTCCAACCATTGTAGCCAATTAGGGAGTGAACCATCAGACAGAAGATCTTCCTCTCTGTTTCTCTTTGCATATCTTACTTTCCAATAAAAATGAATAAATCTTAAAAATATAAATAAGTAGGGCCTGGCGCGGTAGCCTAATGGCTAAATTCCTTGTCCTGCATGTGCCAGGATTCCATTTGGGAGCTGGTTGTGTCTTGGTTGCTCCACTTCCCATCCAGCTCCCTGCTTGTGTCCTGGGAAAGCAGTCAAGGTCGGCCCAAAGCCTTGGGACCCTGCACCTGCATGGGAGATCTGGAAGACGCTCCTGGCTCCTGGCTTCTGGCTGTGGATCAACTCGGCTTTGGTCATTGTGGCCACTTGGGGAGTGAAGCATTGGATGCAAAATCTGTTTCTCCTTCTCTCTTTGAATCTAACTTTCCTATTTAATTTTTTTTATTTTTTAAGATTTACTGATTTTTTTTTCATTGGAAATTCAGATACACAGAGAGGAGGAGAGACAGAGAGGAAGATCTTCTGTCTGATGGTTCACTCCCCAAGTGACCGCAATGTCTGAAGCCGAGCCAATTTGAAACCAGGAGCCAAGAGCCTCGTCTGGGTCTCCCACGCTGGTGCAGGGTCCCAAGGTCTCAGGCCATTTTCCACTGCTTTCTGAAGCTGCAAGTAGAGAGCTAGATGGGAATTGGGGCTGTGGGGATACAAACCGGAGCCGATACACACCGGAATCCCGGTGTGTGCAAGGTGAGGACTTTATAGCCAGTAGGCCACTGCCCCGGACCCACAAATAAATATTTTTTTAAAAATAAATAAAATATAAATATACACAAAAACAAAATTTATCTTCCCCTGCAGTCACTCACCTGTGCTGAGGGCTGGGATGGAAACAGCCACTTGGAAGGGGTCCCAGGAAAAGCTGGGACAGAGGAGCAAGCCCTGGGAGAGAGAAGGCAATAGGTGAGGGACGCCTAAGCAAGGAACTCCCAAGGCTGCCCAGAGCTCAGTCACATTGGGGGTTCCCTGGCTGAGTGCACTGACCCCCCATACCCACCCTGGGCCCAGAGGAGCCGGGAAACAGCGGGGAAAGCACTGTTGGGTGGTCCCTGGGAAGTGACCTTCACGGGTAACGCAGAGCAGAACCTCAGACCCCAGACTGCACCCCAGTGAGGAGCACCCTTCCTGCAAAGGTGAGTGCCAAGACCCTGCGTTTACCCTGAGCTGGTGCTCCCTAACGCACGCACCAACAGGTATCAGCAGTGAAGGGGAAAGGAGGCTTGATAAAGACCCCAGCAGGGTGGCACCATGGCAGCCCAGCGTGGGGCAGGAAGGGAAGCCCACCGCTTGCAATACTGGCATCCCCTATGTGCTGGTTCGCATCCTGGCTGTCCCACTTGTCATCCAGCTCCCTGCCACCATGTGTCTGGGAAAAGCAGCAGAGGATGGGCCAAGATGCCCGGGCCCCTGCCATCCGTGTGGATCAGGAAGAAACTCGTGGCTGCTGGCCTTACACGCTGCAGCCATTCAGTGCTTCTCTCTCAAATAAATGAATAATATAAACCAGACCCCAACAGCCTACAGCAGTTTCTCATCCGTTCCTGGCAGACAGCCCTGGATGGAAACAGCCTCTTAAGTTTGCAGAGAAAGCAAACTGAGTTCCTAATGGTCGGAGCCTAAGACTGGGAACTACAAGGAGACGGTGAGGGGTGGATGGGGCCCCAACTGTTTCCGCCCCTCCCCCGCCGCACCCGGGACTGCAACAGTCCTCGGCTCAGCAGATCCCAAATCGTGCAGGGGATTCATTGTCGGGCGATACAGTGGGGTTGGGGGCTACCTCTCCATCGCACCCCCCTCGCTATTTCGCTAGGCCCACCCTTCCCACCGCGTCCTCCCGCCCGCGCCTCCGCCGAGCCCCATCTGGGATACTCAGGGCAGAAGCCATGTCGGCCCACCAAGACGCATGGTTGCACGGCGCGGTGGGGGTAGCATTCCTGCAAGGGTCAGCAGCGACCACCCCACCCCTCCCCCACGCGCCCGCGCCAGCGTCCCCGCCGGGTTCTTCCAGCACATGGAGCCGAGAAAAGGCGGGCAAAGTTTTCTTTGATAATTTATGAATGGGGGGGGTGGGAGGGAGAAAGAAAAAAAAATGCATGCGTGGAGAACTTCATTGTTAAAAAAAAAAAAATGCACGGAGCCCGAGCGCATCGGCCAATCGCATCCCGGAGGCTGTTTTGAAATTGCTCGGGGTTCAGCCAATAGGGGTGCGGGAGGCGAAGCCCCCTCCCGCCGCAGCCGCGCTGGCGCCTGCCAATAAGAGCGGCGCTGGGCAAAGCAGCCGCGGACCCCGGCCCCTCCGACTGTCAGCCGCGCAAAGATGGAGCCTGCCGGCCGGGAGGGCACCACGAGGTGCGGGGGGCGCGCGACGGCCAGGGACCCCCACCCTGCCCCGCGCCCGCTCCCCTTGCGCGCTCTGCCCTCGCCTTGGCTGGAAGGACGGTCGGCGTGAGTAGCTGGAGCAAGGGTTGGGGTTGGAGGGTGGCGGGGGAAGGGCACGGGGCTAGGGCCGAGCAAGTTCCGAGGAGTCGCTGGCGGGAACTCCTGGCTTCCCTCATGGCTCCACACAACTCAGTAAGGGTCCATCCACAAGGCGGGAAGCCCCCTCGCCACCGCGCCCCTTCATTCTGGGTCACTCGGTGGAGAAACTATGGAATCCATGGTGGTGGGGGCCCGGGGCCCGGGCTGGGGTCCCGGAGCCTCTGGACCACCCTCAGTCGCAGAGGGCAGGCTGGGGCTCTAGGGGGCTTCGGGCCATGGCGGAGCGCGGCCCCCTCCCCTTTGTGTGCTGGCCTCCCTCTCCAAGCGCTCCAACTCCCCCAGCGCGTGCAGCCCTCCCCCACCTTGCCCCTCCCCCACGGTCGCCATCCTGGGCCTTGGGGGCGGGGGGGGGAGGCCTGCGGAGTGGGAGGTTGGGGGAGGGTCTGGGTGCAGCAGGCAGGAGGAAGGCAGCCTGGCTGGGAGCTCGCCCCTCGTCCCGGATGCCCATCTAAGACCTAGGGACTGCGGGGGGGCTGTGACCCCACCCAGTGCCCTGTGCGTATTTTGGGGACCCTTGTCCCCCCGCTGCTGGCTGCAGATGCTCTGACGGGGTTGCACTACTTTGCTTTGAGAAGCAGTGCAATGATATTGTCAAAGCATCTGGGACCAGCCTTGGGGTGGTATCCCCCCCCACCCCTCCCGCCTCATTCGCCCTCCAGGTCCTGCTTGGGGGAGGGGGCCGCCCCTTGGGTCTGCCGGCTCACTGGCTTCACCATGGAAACTGGGCCTCTGGAGGTCAGAGGGCACCCTTCCCCCAGCCCCAGGCCGAGGCCCCGCCCCTGTGGGCCTGCATTCCAGGTTTCAGATCTCAGCCCGCCACTGGCCCACCGGCCTGCCCGACACTCTTTCCCTGTTGCACTTCTGTGGGTCACTGGGAAGCAGTGCAATGCTGAAAGGGCATTGGTCAGGCCGGACGCCCCCGGGGCTAGAGAGTGCTGCATTATCTCCCCCCCACCGCCCAGCTGGCCAGCGGACGAAGCCGTGCTGACCTCCCCTCCCCCCGGCGGTAAGTTCTGGGGCTGGACTACCCCCGTTGGCATGGGGGGTCTCTGGATCCAACTCCAAGCTGCCCATCTCAACTGATTTGAGCACGGGGCCCTCACCCCCCCCACACCCCCAGCCCCCGCTTGGAAGGAGAGGCTGGTCAGGGCCTAGTGCAGGAACAAAGGAACTTTGCTGCTTTGCATGGGGAGGGACCCAGCAACACCCTGGCCACGTTGTGGGGTGAGGGGTGGGCAGGATCTGGATCCTGGGCCTTCCTCATGAAGGCTTGAAGAACGTTCTTCCAGGAGGGGCAGGAATGGAACATCGCAGGAGGCTGACCCCAGCTGTGGCCAGTGATGGGCGGGCGGCCCCTCGGGAGTTAGCGCTTTGGTTGAGGACACGGGGACCCTGGTTTTCCCCTGGTATATGTGGGGGGCTCTTGTAGTCCTGACCCCTTTGGGCTTCCTTGGCTCCTAAACTCGCCCCCCTCCCTTTTCCCTCTCTGAGCTGGAGGTGGGCTGATTCCTGCTGCTGGTGGAAGCATGGTAAGCTCAGAACTGTGCCCTGGAGCACAAAGTGTGTTCTTCCAGCCGCCTGGGACATCACCAATTTTTGTTAAATCCAGAACGCTTGGGGGTCTAGCCCCTGAGTGCATACAGGCTCAGCCCCTGCTGTGCGATACCCGTGTCCCACACTGATTTCTGTTCCAGCTTCCTGCTCACACTGCTGGTCCTGCCATCTGAATACATATCTAAACTTGTTTAATTTATAAAGAGAAAACGGGGGGGGGGGGGCGAGCAGACAGTCGGCATTGTGGCCAAGGACACCAGCATCCCACATGAGTTCCAGTTTGAGTTCCTTCGGCTCCTTGCATGGGCAACCCGGCAACACGGCAGTGGAAGATGGCCCTAGTGCTTGGGCCCCCAACATCTGGAGTTCAAGGCCGCTGGACTCTGCCTGGCCCTTCCCTGCCTGTTACCGGCGTTTGGGGGAGAACCAGTTGATCCAAGGTTAAAGGGCCTGGAAGCTGGCATTCCATGTGGGAGCTGGTTTGAGTGCCAGCTACTCTCCACTTCCGATCCAGCACCCTGGTTCCTGACTTTATCCCAGCCCAGCTCTGGCCATTGTGGCCTGAGCCAGTAAACTTCTCCCTGTAACTCTGCATTTCCAATAAAAATAAATCTTTAAAAAGGCTGATGGGGGTAGGGGCGGGTTGGTAGCCTAGTGGCTGAAGTCTTCGCCTTGCATGTGCCCGGTCCCAGGGTCCCTGCCTGCCTTGGGACCCTGCACCCACGTGGGAGACCAGAAAGAAGCTCCTGACTTCGGATCAGCGCAGCTCCGGCCATTGCTGCGACTTTGGAAGTGAATCAGCGGATGGAAGATCTTTCTGTCTCTCTGTAAATCTGCCTTTCCATTAAAAAAAAAAAATCTTAAAGAAAAAAAAAAGCTGATGGGGAGTACCCCAGGGGTCACCTTCCCCGGAAAGGTGGGCTCAGCAGCCGCTCCAGGAGGCAGGGAGGAGAGGTGGTGGTTTGGGGGGTGCAATCTCGATGCACTGAGTGTGAGACGCCCTCAGAACTCGGGGGGCATCGGGTGTGGATGTGGGAGCTGGAGAGGAGGAGGCTGAGGCCGAAATGCAAGCTTCCGGTTGTCTATCATCACTTATGGGTTCTAACCAAGACTATAGACCCCTCGGCTGTCTCGTCCCCTTTCCCCTCTGGCAACGCCTGAGCTTCACATCCGCCCTCCCTCCACGGCCGTCAAGGGCGGGAGGGCGCATGCTCAGAGTGGGCGGGCATTGTCACGTGAGGCGCCCGGCGCGGGCTGGCTCCGCCCACGGTCTCGGGGCGGCGGCGGCAGTCGGCGAGGGAGTCTGCGCCTGCGCGGCAGCTTGGGGCACCACAGAGGGTCTGTGGGGTCCGGGTAGGGGGGGAAGCGGCCCTGGGTGCGCCCCGAACCCCGGGCTGGCGGGGGTGGGAGATGGGGGTCCTCCGGGTCCCTCCATCCCAACTCTGGGTTCTGCACCCCGACTGCCGCTCCCGTCACACCCGTACCCCGGCTGGCCGCCCCGCAGGCAGCGCGCCCCACCCCGGCCCTTCTCGGAATGGAGGTCCTGGACGAATTCGACCGAGAGTTCCCACAGAGCGTGACCTTCTGCCAGCTCATCTCCGAGGAGGACTTCGAGAGGCAGGCGGCCACCTACACGGAGCGCGCGCTGCGCCGCCTCTTCCGCAGCCTGGACCGCAACCCCGCGCTGGCCGAGCGGGTGGTGCGCAAGGGCAAGCAGGCCGAGTGCGAGCAGCGCGGGCTCCTCTCCTTCCTCTGGGTGCGGGGCTCCCCCCTGGAGCCGGCTCCCCATGGCGGGGTGGGGGTAGGGGCCGAGCTGGCGGTTGCCGTCCTTGCCCCCTCCTCCCAGGGCGTCCTCCATGCCCTGCTTCTCCCTCCCCGCTGATGCCACAGGCCAAGTTCACCTCTGCAGTGCAGGGGGACCTGAACCAATGCAACAGCATGGGCGCCCTCGAGATGCACCAGCGCTTGGAGCAACTCAAGAGAAACATCCACCGCGTGCACCTCTACTCCCGGGGTGAGGTTCCGCCTCTCCCGGCCCTTCCCTGCAGAGGTGTCGGCTCCTGGGATGGGAGGGAGGGGGCTGGGCCACCGCTTCACTTCCCACCCGGTGCTGTTTCCTTGTTATTTATTGTGTGACACACGCAGAGAAAGGCTCCCTATCCACCTGTTACCTTTCCAGGTGCACAACATGGCCAGGGTGGGAGCCAAGATCCTCCCACTCCATCCTGGTCTCTCCTTGGGTAGCACAGACACAGGCACACTGGTCTTCCACTGCTTTCCCCAGCTGCATTAGCAGGGAGTTGGACTGGAAGTAGAGCTTCCGGATCTTGGAACTTGAACCCATATAGGACAGTTGCTTTGCAGGCCGTAGCTTAACACGCTGTACCACAAACATCAGCCCCTTATGGTTCTAAAAGGGCAATAGACACACCAAAGGCTGGAAATGCGTTAGTGTCGACGCGAAAGTCTCATGTAACTTCTGAGAAATCTTCTATATCTTTGTCCCTCTGAAGACTTGACAATTGCACTTCAATTTTTTAAGAAAAGATTTGTTTATTTTTATTGCAATGTCAGAGAGGAAGATCTGTTCGATGATTCACTTCCCAAGCGGCCGCAATGGCTGGAGCTGAACTGATCTGGAGCTAGGAGCCAGGAGATTCTTCCAGGTCTCCCACACGGATGCAGGGTCTCAAGCCTTAGGGCCATCCTCGACTGCTTTCCCAGGCCGTAAACAGGGAAGTGGGGCTGCCGGGATTAGAACCAGCACCCAACTGGGATTCTGGTGCATAGGAAGTGAGGACTTTAGCTGCTAGGCTATACTGCCAGGTGCTGCACTTCAATTTCCAAAACCCCCACCTCTTTTTTTTTTTTTTTCTTTTCTTTTTTGATAGAAACTCAAGGTCACTGTTACACCTGCCATAACTGACCGCAGTGCCCTGGGTTGGCTGATTACACTGCCATTCTAGCAGTCACATCTCCCATGTAGCATGCTCCCTGGTGTGGGGACCTAACGCGGCACACACTGCATGTGTGGGAAAGAGACGCTTCACTTCCTCATAATTAGGATTCCCGTATCATTTGTGTCCAAATTGGGGTCCAAGAAGGACCATGCAAGTGCTGGCATTGGGCATGACCCTGAAGACACAGCTTGGGATGCCCATATGCCATCTGAGAGGACCTGGGTTTGGAATCCCTGCTCTGTTGCAATCCTACCCTCCTGCTAAGGTGCACCGTGGGCAGGGGCAGGGAGTGGCTCAGGTGTTTGAGTCCATGCTACCTGTGGATGGGTCTGTGAATCCCAGCCTGGGGCCGGCCCAACCCCGAGCTCTTGCATGTGTGTGAAGAGTGAGCAAGCAGGTGGGGAAATGTCTCTCTTGAATAAATAAGTCAGAGAAGGAGGCAGCATCTGGGACCTTGCAAGGATGGCAGGTGTAAGCCTGGAAGGCTCCTTGGCTACCTCCGTGAATCTTTGGGGTGTGGCGACCCCTCTGTCTCTCCTTTCTCCCTGTGCCATTGACTCAAACTGCCATCTCCCAGGGTGTCCTCCCCTCTTTGGTATCTTCTTTGTTGCTCATCTGCCTGTGTTTCTTTTTAAAAGTATAGCTATTTATTTGAAAAGGAGAATGGTATTCCAAGAGATCTTCCATCTCCCCGAATGGCTGCAACAGCTGGGGCTGGGCAAGGACAAACCCACACAAGTGGTCTCCCACACAAGTGGTGGGGTCCAAGCACTTGGACCATCTTCTGTTGTCTTCCCAGGCATAATAGCAGGGAGCTAGAGTGGAAGAAGTGCAGCCAGGATTTGAACCAGCACCCATATGGGATGCCAGTGTTCTAGGTGGCAGCTTAGCTCCATGTGCACCACAATGCCGGCCCCTACCTGGGTGTCTTGAACCTCAGGTCCTGCAGGGGTGTGTGCTGGGGCAGGGGGTTGCTGATGGTGGACCCCGGCTGTGATAAGTCTTTGGGACAGCCCCCCCATCTCTATTTCTGAGTACCAGTTCCTTCACACCTGCATTTCACAAGCAGCAGGTATAGCGCCCCCAAATGGCGGTGTGGTGACTTGTTCCATGTCTTATTAAGGAGGAACAGAGGAGCTGTGCTTGAGAAAGTTGAGCGTGGAGTTGGCCATTGTTGGGAGGTTGTGGTGGTGGTCCCTGCGTGGAGTTGGCCATTGTTGGGAGGTTGTAGTGGTGGTGGTCCCTGCACACGAGCCATTGAGGAGCTCCTGGCACCCACTTGTCCCCACCACTCATGGGATACGGCCAGACTCCTCAAATCGAGGAGGAAGACCCAGATGGCATGGCCCAGGGGAGTCCCTCCATGAGACCAAAGGGCTACAGTCTTCGCTGGTGGACTCACCCTCAGTGTCTCAGCACCCCCAGCCCATGCTGGCAGGTCCACTCTGGCTTCCCACAATACCACACCTGGCTAGGACGTGCCTACCGCTCAGTCCAGGACACCAGATCTCTGAGTCCCTGGCAATCCGGATGGCCCAGGAGTATCTTTTCTGGTTCCTGGGTGTCAGAAAGACATGGGGCGCCTCTGTTTCAGATGCCAAGAAGAGGAAAAGAAAACTCAAACCAAAGAAGCTAGAGCGCATCCTATTTCGGGACCGATCGACCTCCCCTTGCCAGCCACTGAACCTGTTGCCGCCACCTCCGCCACCACTTCCACCACTGTTGCCACCTGCCACCAACGTGGCCTCCGTGGTGGCCTCGTCACACCCCGTTTACACTATGCCCAGAGTCTTTGGCCCTTTCCCACCACTGCCCAGCAAGCCGGTCAGTGCAGGGGTCCCCCAGTCCTGCCTTGTCAGCTCTGGGTCATCCCTCCCAGGCAGTACTGAAAAGGGGGGTTTCTCTGGCTGAAGGAGCAGGGCTGGGGGCAGGCAAGGAGCCCCAGGTCCCTGGCCTAGCTCAGGGAGGTGGCTGTCTGCTCATGTGGGTCCTTCCTGAGGCTCCCATGGGTGTCACCCCCTGCCCCCGCCACCTGCTGCATTGCCATGTCGCCCATGCACCTCACTTCAGTTGCTCCTCCAGCTACACTCTGACCCAGTTGAGCTCCTAGCCCCTCCTGTTTCATCCAGCAATCTGGAGCTGGGCACTATGAGCCCCAGGTCACTTTAGGTGTTGTTTTTGAGTGACCATGGTGTTCAGAAACCTGCCCTTGGGGTTCCCTTTTTTAATATACAAATATATATTTTTTAACATTTACTTGTTTTTATTGGAAGTCAGATTTACAGAGAAGGAAATATAGAGGAAGGTCTTCCATCTACTGGTTCACTCTCAATGCCCGCAGTGGCCGAAGCTGAGCTGATCTGAGCCAGAAGCCAGGAGTTTCTTCTGGGTCTCCCATGCGCTTGCTGTAGGGTCCCAAGGTTTAGGGCTGTCCTCGACTGCTTTCCCAGGCCACCAGCAGGGAGCTGGATGGGAAGTGGGGCAGCTGGGATTAGAACCAGCACCCATATGGGACCCTGGCATGCAAAGCACTTAAGCCGCTAGCCGCTAGGCTACTGCACCAGACCCTGCTTTTTTTTTAATTGTTTATTTTAAAGGCAGAGTTACAGAGAGAGGGGAAACAGAAAGATCATCTGTTGGTTTACTCTCCAAGTGGCCACAATGGGCCAGAGCTGAGCCAACCTGAAGTCAGAAGCTTTTTTTTTTCAGTCTCCCACGCGAGTACAGGGGCCCAAAGTCTCAAGCAGGGAACTGAGTTAGGAAGTGGAGCGATCAGGACTCATGTGGGACACCCTCATGGTAGGTAGAGGATTAGCCTGTGCACCCCCACCTGGCCCCATTCCTTTTGCTTCCTGCAGGTGGAGAAGTTGGATACCTCCAGGTCTGAAGTGAGGCTGAACTGGAGCAGTCTTTCAGCGAACCCTAAGAGGTCAATACCCTTTCCTCCAGACAGGAGGGTGATGAAAAGGAGGGGAACCTCTGGGGGGAGTGTCCTGGTGTGCCAACTCCAGGCTGGTTCACCACTCCTCTCAGCCCCCAGCAGCATCCATCCTGGGGTTAAGGTAGCGGGTGGAGGAGGGTCTTGTCTCCTTCCAGGGGAGGCGTCTGGGGTCCCTGGACCCCATTGTGAGGTTTGGTGTTCTACCATATCTTCTTGTAGCCACATGGTTGACCTGACGCCCTTGGTCCTCAATCCTGGAGGTTTCCATTTCTCCTACGTGGCCGGAAACAACACCCACAAACTCCACTGCCACGGCTTTCCCTGGTGAGCATGCTGCCGTGGCTCCCCAGCCTCAGGACTGGGGCTGGACGCTGTCCCCAACTGCCACCCTGCTCTGAGCTGGTGCTGTGCACCAGGGCTGGGCCAGCTGGCATGACCGTGGCCCCTCTCTTCTGGTGGGAGTGCCCCCTCAGAATGTGCTAAGGTGTGCTGGGATGACCAACTCCTCCACTGTGTGTGTCAGAGGAACGCACCCTGGGGTGGGGACATGGGTGTGTTTTTGCCAAATGGTAGCTTTTCCTGAATTCGGATATTTTGTTTTTTTCCTTTTGAAAATCATTTACTTTTCGCACCTTCATTCTGTCCCATGGGGCCCTAGGCATGGCCGACACGGGCTGCTTCATCACACGAAGTCAGCCCGTGGCTTTGTTAATGGCTTTGTTAATGGCTTTGAAATTAAAAAAAAAAAAAAAAAACACAAAAGTTTACTTGAAAGAGTGACAGAGAAACACATTAATCTTGCAGCTGCTGGTTCATTTCTCAATGGCTATAATGGCTGAAGCAAGGCCAGGTTGTAAGGAGGAGCCAGGACCTTGCAGGGCTCCCATGTGGGTGCAGGGGCCCAGGCACGGGAGCCATCCTCTGCTGCTTTCCCAGATACATTTCCATGAAGCTGCATTGAAAGTAGAGCAGCCGGGACTTGAATCAGTGCCCACATGGGATGTTGGCATGGCAGATAGAAGCTTAACCTGATATGCCACCGTGTCAGTCCCTTTTAACTCTTTTATTGAGATAATTAGCCATACAGCCCACTCATCTGAAGGGTCAGATGCAGTGGATTTTTTTTGGGGGGGGTGTATATATTCTTAACTGTACAGCCATCATCACAATCCAATTTGATTTTCATCACAAAGAAAAGTTTGGCACAAAGCAGTGCATCATGAGAGAAAATATTTGCCCAGGTTCTCAGAACCCAAGAAAACAGTTTAATGGGCAACAGGAAGAGTCCCTTCCACGCTTGCACTAAAGAAATACAGCATGACCTGAGGGTGGGACTCGTGCTGCCACGGGCTGAGCCACTTCTTAGGAACCCACATCCTGTACCGGACGCCCTGGCCGGATGGCCAGTCCGGTCCACACTCCAGTCCAGCTCTCTGCTGATGCTCTCAGCCCGAGCATTTGAAGAGAGCTGGCTGGAGTTCCTGGCTGTGGTCTGGTTCAGTTCTGGCTTGTTGGGCTGTAGGAACATTTTGGGGGAAGTGAACCAAGGAATGGAAGATGTCCTTGGCCCTCTGCCTTTCAAATGAGTAAACAAAACATAACACAGATTCAGACGGGTGGCATGTTATAATATTCAAAGGGTCAGGGAAAAAAAGACCCAGTGTATCCAAGATTAATAGAGGGTGATGTGGCCCTAGAAATGAATTTTTATTCAACCATGACCCGAGCAATGAGGGGCAGACAGACCTCAAAAATATTATACTGGGTGAAACTTGCCATGTGCGCAAGGAAAAATACTGTGTGATTGCTTTACATGAAACATCTAGAATATTGAGAACTAGCTAGAAAGCAGGTTAGTGGTGGCCAGAAAGAGGGGCATGTTCTAGAAATGCAGAGTGTACATTTAATCTGAAGTTTAAAAAACCAAATCAACCAACCAGGGGGCAATTTTTGTTTGTTTTGGTGTTTGGTTCTTTTTGTTGTTGTTGGAAAGGAAGCTTTACAAAGAGGAGAGACTGAGAGAAAAACCTTCCACCTGCTGGTTCACTCCCCAAATGCCCACAATGGCTGGAGCTGAACCGATCTGAAGCTAGGAACTGGGAGCTTCTTCTGGTTGGTCCTCCAACATAGGTGCAGGGTCCCAAAGCTTTGGGCTGCCCTTGACTGCTCTTCCAGGCCACCTGCAGCTGAGAGGGAAGTGGAGCAGCTGGGACAGGAAGCCCCATATGGGATGCCAGTGTTGCCTGTGGCAACCCAGGAGTCAACAGTCTTTGCAAAACACATCTGTTGTTATCAAAATTCTCATATTCTTTGACTCTGTTTTCAATCCTGGAAACTGGCCCCGAGGAATAATAACCGGGAAGCCAGTATTGGGAGTGATGCTGTGGCGTAGCATGTATAGTTGCTCCCTGTGAATCTGGAATTCTGTATAGGTGCTGCTTTGAGTTCTGGCTGCTCAACTTCCAGTCCAGCTCGCTGCTAATGTGTGTGGAAGATGGCCTATGTCCTTGGCCTGCTGCCACCCATGTGGGAGACCTGGAAGAAGCTCCTGGTTCCTGACTTCAGCCTAGTCCAGTCCCAATTATTGTGGCCATTTGGGCAGTGAACCTGTGGATGGAACATATGGCTTTCTCTCCCTGCCATTCTGCCTTTCAAATGCAGAAAGATAGATCTGCAGCCTGGCGTGATGGCTCAGCAGCTAAATCCTCACCTTGCAAATGCCGTGAACCCATATGGGTGCCAGCTTGTATCCTGGCTGCTCTACTTCCTATCTGCTCCCTGTATATGATCTGGAAAAGCAGTGGAGAATGGCCCAAGTCCTTGGGACTCTACACCCACAAGGGAGACTCAGAAGAACATCCTGGTTCCTGGTTTCCATCAGTTCAGTTGTAGCCATTAGAGCAGTGAAACAGTGGATGAAAATATTTCTCTGTGTCTCCTTCTCTCTGTAAATCTGATCTGCCTTTCCAATGAAACTAAATATTTTAAATTAATTAATTAATTAATTAAATTTTAAAGAAAGTCCTAGTGAGCCCCCGTTAGTCAATCAGTGGATTCTTCAAGGACCTCATTGTGCTTAGAATGGCGAGATGGCGGCAATTCATAACTGTTGAACTAACAAAACCATATGAGCTAAACCCTTGGAGCATGCCCCAATCAGAGACCCGGGGTGGGCGGCAGACTGGGAGAGGCTTCTTCCTTAAAATCCCCCTTTACCTCAGATACATGAAGGAAACAATGTGGAAATAATAGTCTTACCCACTTTTCTGTAGCCCTAGAACCTTTTTATCTTAATTAACTATGTAAAGATTGTCAGAAATATAATAAAAGCAGCTGCAACAGCCAGAGCTGAGCTGATCCAAAGCCAGGAGCCAAAGTCAGGAGCCAGGAGCTTCTTCTGAGCCTTTCATGTAATTGCAGGGTATCCCAAGGCTTTGGGTCATCCTTGACTGCTTTCCCAGGCCACAAGCAGGAAGCTGGATGGGAAGCAGAGCAGCCAGGACACGAACTGGTGCCTATATGGGATGCTGGCACATGCAAGGCAAGGACTTTAACCACTAGGCTCCTGAACCAGGCCCTAAATTTTTTTCTAAAGATTTATTCATTTTTACCTGAAATGTATATTTCTCATAGATAGAAGGAGAGACAGAAAGATCTTCTGTCCTCTGGTTCACTTCCCAAATGACTGCAATGGCTGGAGCTGAACTCATCCAAAGCCAGGAGCCAGGAGATTCCTCTGGGTCTCCCACGCAATGCAGGGTGCCAAGGCTCCAGACCATCCTTTACTGCTTTCCTAGACCACAAGCAGGGAGCTAGGTGAGGAAGTGGAGCTGGGACTTGAACTGGTGCCCATATGGGATGGCAGCACCGTAGGGCAGAGGACCAGCCTGTGTGCCACCAGTCCCCATGGGGTGGGTTTAAGGCCAGCATTATGGTAGCCCGTCTAGATTTTTTCTAATTTTTTTGCACCTGTAGTTGTGTGGCCTTGAGATTGAATCAGTGTTATTTAGGATTATTTGTGTTGGTTGAAGTCGGGGAAGGATCTTCCCTCCATCCACTTGTTTAGGGCACAGTGTTGGTCCCCCTAAGCCTAGGGTTTTGTCCTCTGTATTGGTCTTAGCTCATGGGCATGTCTGATGTCTCCCGTGCAGTTCCTCAGCCTGTAATGGCTCGCCTAGAAATGAACAGACCTCGTCGTCCACCGTGAGGGCATCCATCTTCACCCCACCTGTTCTGCTCAAGTTCCAGCCCATGTCCAGATCCAAAGATGACTCAGAGCCCAAGGACCCTGGCAGCGGGGAGTCCGCGCCTGGCCAGCAGAGCCCATGACCACGGCCCTCCTGGTGACAGCAGTTGCCGTGGAGGTGCTGGGGGAATGGATAATAAAGTTCCTGTGAAGATGCCTTCCTGACCCATGACTCCTGGGAGTCTCCTGACCTCGCCATGTTCCCTGCAGTTCCCAGGAGCTGCTCAGGGTTCTGTAAGTCCCAGTGTGCCCGGCTGCAGCTGCCTGAGCCCATGAGCTTGCTAACCTGGTAATTCAGTCATGAGTGTGTGTATGTGTGTGTGTGTGTGTGTGTTCCAAGATTTATTTATTCAGGGGGTGGCGTTCAAGAGAGAGAGCTTTCAAACAGATTTAGTGACCCAGGCTGGGCCACACCAAAGTCAAAAGCCAGGAGCTTCTTCCAGATCTCTCACATGGGTGCAGGCTCCTAAGGGTGCGGGCTGTCCTCTGCTGCTTTTCCAGGCACATTAGCAGGCAACTGGATCTGAAGTGGAGCAGGCAGGGCTTGAACCACATGGGATGCCGGTGTTGCAGGCTGTACCACCATGCCAGCCCCCAATCACCAGCACTTTGAAACAGAAATGGGGACGCTAGGGGGACTGCCCTTCCCCTTGGACCTCTTGGATCCCTCATGGCCACCTGCATGTCAGTTCTTTTCTCACGCCTGGCCCTGGAATGCAAGGTTGATATCCTGTTTAGGAATTGTGACTGTGGGGCTAGCGCCGTGGCTCACCAGGCTAATCCTCACCTTAAAGTGCCAGCTTATCTTGGGCTCGGCATGACAGCTTAGTGGTTAAAATCCTCACCTTTTTAAAATAAATAAATAGATCTTAGAAAAACAAAGCAGGGCCCGGCGCGGTGGCACAGTGGTTAAGGTTCTCGCCTTGCACGCCCAGGATCCCATATGGGTGCCGATTCTAATCCCAGCAGCCCCGCTTCCCTTCCAGCTCCCTGCCTGTGGCCTGGGAAAGCAGTCGAGGAGCTTTGGGACCCTGCACCCGCGTGGGAGACCCGGAAGAGGCTCCTGGCTTTGGACTGGCATAGTATGGGCCGTTGTGCTCACTTGGGGAGTGAATCATCGGACGGAAGATCTTCCTCTCTGTCTCTCCACTCTGTATATCCGCCTTTCCAATTAAAAAAAAAACAAAAACCAGTGATTGTTTTTTCCTTCCCTGGGTGGTGAGGTGACAGTGATCCTGCCTGTGGATTTCTTCCTTTCTTTCTTTCTTCTTTTTTTTTTTTTTTTAAGATTTATTTATTTTTATTACAAAGTCAGATATACAGAGAGGCTGCAGAGCCAGTGTCCATTCGCTGTCATGCACCTCAGCCTTACTTCCCATCATGCCGGAGCCATCTGGTTGATACAGCCACATGTGGAGATGCCACAAAACTATCCAATATGCTGCAAATATTCAAAGAAAGCTAAGGGGCTGGGGAAGCCTGCCATTCTCTAGCTCCACCCTCAAATCTGTCCCCATTTATACACCCAGTTAGGACATCATCTGTCCTTTTTTTTTTTTTTAAAGATTTATTTCTTTATTTGAAAGTCTGATATACAGAGAGGAGGAGAGACAGAGAGGAAGATCTTCTGTCCGATGATTCACTCCCCAAGTGAGCGCAACAGCCGATGCTATGCCGATCTGAAGCCAGGAGCCAGGAGCTGCTTCCAGGTCTCCCACGTGGGTGCAGGGTCCCAAGGCTTTGGGTCGTCCTCAACTGCTTTCCCAGGCCACAGGCAGGGAGCTGGATGGGAAGTGGAGCTGCTGGGATTAGAACCGGTGCCCATATGGGATTCCGGGCGTGCAAGGCGAGGACCTTAACCACTGTGCCACTGCGCCGGGCCCATCATCTGTCCTTGAAAGGGACGCCCCCAGCTCTGATGGGGCAGGGCCTTTCCTTGTGAAGAAAGCTTGCCTAGCCTCACATGGGAGCATGCGCTGTCTCTGTAAATCTTGCATTTCCATGCACCTTGGATTACTGCACTGCGTGGAGACAGTGGTTGGAACAGAGGCAGCCAGTGGCCTCATTCCCCACAATACCTGCTCTGACAAAGCTCAACACCCCATCCTGCGTGTGTCATGCTGGGTGGTGATTGGTGGAGAGGGTAAGCCAGCACACAACTATAATAACTGGGATTGCAAATGATGATACATATGGGGTGGGGCGCTCAGGGAAGGCGACATACATTCTGTGACCTAAAAGATGGGCTGATGTTACTGGACACGACATCTCAGGATGTCACCCACCACTCAGCCTCAAATGGAACGGCTCATTTGTACCTGTGACAAAGGAGACAGTGGTGAGCTAAAGTTTGCTAAGGAAACTGATGTGGTTCGCTTCCGGAATGGCCACATCCGGGAACAATCTCCCATGCGAGGGCAGGGCCCAAGCACTTCTGCTGCTTTTTTAGATACGTTTGCAGAGAGCTGGATCTGAAATGGAGCAGCTTGGACTGGAACTGGAGCTCTGGTGAGGGATGGCAGTGTTACATGTGGCTTAGCCTGCTGTGTCACAATGCCAGCCCCATGCCAGGGCTTAGGGGGGTATTGGACAGATAGCAAGAGACAGGAAGAAAGTCACCTCCTGCTCACACATGTAAGTAACACACAGAGAATGACCGTGGGGCCCAGCACAGTGGCCTAGCAGCTAAAGTTCTTGCCTTGTATGTGCTGGGATCCCATACGGATCCCAGTTCTAATCCCTGAGGCCCCACTTCCGAGCTGGATGGGATCCTGGGACCTTCAAGGCAAGGATTTCAGCCGCTACATGATTGCACTGTGCCCAGGAATTCTGTTTGGATGTGGGTATTGTGGCAAATGAGTTAAGCAGCTACCTGCAGGGCCAGCACCCCCTTACAGGCACTGATTCATATCCTGGCTGCTTCACTTCTCATTCAGCTCCCTGATAACACTCCTGAACAAGCAGTGGAGGATGTTCAGGGGTCCAAATGTTAAGACCTCTGCACCCACGTGAGAGACCCAGAAGAAGCTCCCAGCTCTGAATGTCATGGCCATCCGCAGAGTGAACTAGTGGATGCCGGATCAGCTTTAAAAAAAATCTGCATTTTACCTAATATGTTCAATTCTGAGACCAGATCAGGAGTTTCCAGCGCCAGCAAAATGTATCATTGCGAGTCACGGGATACAGGAGCTGTTCAAAAGCAGTGCTTGGTCAGGGTCAGCCAGGGGCCTGGATGTGGACCCATGTGGCTCAGGATGGATAAGGCTCAATAAGGACCACCTGATGCAGAGATGGAGCGGATATGGGGAGAGGGAAAGAAGAAAGCTTTTTTTTTTCTTTTTTTTAAGATTTGATACCCCAGGGTGTGTTTGAATGGGCATGGCATTGAACCACAGCTGGGCAGCCTAAACGAAGTAGTGCCAAGGCTCCTGGCTGGCGCAACCGCCCGTGGCTGGCAGATCCCACAGCGCGTTCCCAGCGATCCCTGCACGCCCGCATGCGCACTTAGCAACGGTCGGCTGAGGGGAAAACTACAGTTCCCGGCATGCCAAGCACTCGATTCCGGCGTGGGCCTCGGGACCCGGAAGTGACACCGAGACCCGGCGGCGTCTGCGGGCTGGCTGGTGGTGGGCTGTGAATTTTCTGCGTTCGCTGGTCCCGCCGCTGCCCTCGCCGCCATGGGGAAACGACAGCACCAGAAGGACAAGATGTAAGTCCATGACTCGTCGGGGGCGCCGGTCCGGGGCTTGGCGTAGCCCTCCCTTTCCTTCCCAGACCCAGGTTCCCCTTGTCGCCCGTCAGTGACCTCCTGCCCGGACCCCTGCCCACTGCCCGCTGCCCACTGCCCGCTGCCCGCTGCCCACTGCCCAGGCCGGGGTGAGTGCCCTCCGGCCGCCGGCGTTCCCGTCCAGCTGCCGACGGGTCGGCGTGCCCGGGGTCTCCGTGTGGGGGTCAGGCGGCATCCTGTAACGTGGTGGAACACTGCCTCCCACCCACACCCCCTTCCACCTCCCACTTTTGGGGCCCCGGGGTCCCGCCTGTGCTTCTTGTTGAGTGGGCTCCCTGTATCTCCGGCGGGGCAGCTGCACCCTCCTCCCTGGCTCCCACCTGTGTGCTCTCTCAGCTGATGGCGTTTCCCGGTTATCCCCCAAGCAGCTCCCCGAACTTTTTTTTTTTTTTTTAAAGATTTATTTCTTTATTGGAAAGGCAGATCAGAGAGGAGGAGAGACAGAGAGGAGGTTCTTCCGTCCAATGATTCACTCCCCCAAGTGAGCTCAACGGCCGATTTGAAGCCAGGAGCCAGGAACAGCCTCTAGTTCTCCCACTTGGGTACAGGGTCCCAAGGCTTTGGGCCGTCCTCAACTGCTTTCCCAGGCCATAAGCAGGGAGCAGGATGGGGAAGTGGAGCTGCTGGGTCTAGAACCGGCGCCCATATGATTTCCCGGAGCGTTTAACGTGAGGACTTTAGCTGTTAGGCCACAGCGCCGGGCCCGAAAGTTTTATTTCTTTTTTAATTTTAAAATTATATTTCTCTGTTTCTTTTTATTGGAAAGGCACATGTATGGAGAGAAGGAGATACAGAGAGAACCTCCATCTATTGGCTCACTCCCCAGTTTGACACAACCTCAGAACTGAGCTCATCTGAAGCCAGGAACCAGGAGCTTCTGAGTCTCCCACGTGGGTGCAGGGTCCCAAAGCTTTGGGCCATCCTCGACTGCGTTCCCAGGCCACAGGCAGGGAGCTGGATGGGAACTGGAGCAGCTGGGATATGAACTTGTGCTGATGTATAAAAGGTTGGCATTTAGCCTCTAGACTACCATGGGGGCTTCATGTCTTTTTTTTTTGAAAGACAGAATGGGCCCGGCATGGTAGCTTTGGAGTTAAAGACCTTGCCAGTTCTAATCCCGGCAGCTCTACTTCCCATCCAGCTCCCTGCTTGTGGCCTGGGAAAGCAGTCAAGGACAGCCCAAAGCTTTGGGACCCTGCACCCACGTGGGAGACCTGGCCGTAGTTCCTGCTTTTGGACCTGTTCAACTCTGCCAATTGCAGTCACTTACGGAGTGAATCATCGGACAGAGGGTCTTCCTGTCTCTCCTCCTCTCTGTATATCTGCCTTTCCAATAAAAATAAATCTAAAAAAGAAAAAAAGGCACAAGTGACTGAAGAGAAATCTCCCACCTACCGGTTCATTCCTCAAATGGCTGCACCAACCAGATCTGAAGCCAGGAGCCTCTTCCGGGTCTTCCTTGGGGATGTTAAGAGCCATCCTCCGCTGCCTTTCCAGTCCCATGAGCAGGGAGCTGGATTGGAAGTAGAGCAGCCGGGACTGCAACGAGCACCCATGTGGGATGCCGGTGCTGCCAGCGGAGGCTGAGCGTGCTGCGCAGTGGCACCAGCGCCCACGTCATCAGCGCCTCTCAGACCCTGTGCTGTGGGTGAGGGAAGAGGCAGCACAGTGAGCTGTTGTCTGTCTCTCTGCCCCCTTCAGGTACATTACTTGCGCTGAATACACTCACTTCTATGGCGGCAAGAAGCCAGGTAAGGCGTGGGATTGCTCTGCTCCCTGTGGGGTTGGGGGCTGGCCGTAAGGCAGGCTGTTCTCGTCTCCCAGTGAGCCAGGAACGGGGCTGGCGGGAGAAACGCAGACAGGCCACAGCCAGCTGAGCACCTCATCCACGTGGTGATTTTTTTTTATTAAATTCTTATTTTGATCTAATTATGTTTTTTTTTAAAGATTAATTTATCTTTATTGCAAAGTCAGATATATAGAGAGAGGAGAGACAGAGAGGAAGATCTTCTGTCCGATGATTCACTCCCCAAGTGATTGCAACGGCTGGAGCTACGCCGATCTGAAGCCAGGAGGCAGGAGCTGCTTCCAGGTCTCCCCCGTGGGTGCAGGGTGCCAAGGCTTTGGGCCGTCCTCGACTGCTTTCCCAGGCCACAGGTAGGGAGCTGGATGGAAGCGGGGCTGTTGGACTGGAATCAGCACTCATGTGGAATCCCAGCATGTTCAAGGCGAGGACTTTAACTGCTAGGCTACCGCGCTGGATCTGATTTTATTGTTGTTAAGATTTATTTTTATTGGAGAGGCAGGCAGATATGCAGAGAGAAGGAGATACAGAGGAAGATCTTCCATTCACTGGTTCACTCTCCAAGTGGCCACAACGTCTGGAGCTGAGCTGGTCCGAAGCCAGTAGCCAGCAGTTTCTTCTAGGTCTCCCACGTGGGTGCAGGGTCCTAAGGCCTTGGGCCATCCTCTACTGCTCTCCCAGGCCACAAGCAGGGAGTCAGAAGGGCATTGGAGCAGCCGGGACTCAAGCTAGCACCCATATAGGATCTCGGTGCATGCAAGACAAGGATTTAACCATAGGCTGTCATGCCGGGCCCATGGTTATTTTTCTTTTTTAAGGTTTATTTATTTTTGATAGAAAAGGAGAGATAGATATCTTCGATCCCCTGGTTCAGTCTCCAAGTAGCCAGCTGGAGCTGGGCTGGTCGGAAGCCAGGAGCCAGGAGCCAGGAGCATCCTCCAGGTCTCCCCTAGCTGCAGGGGCCCAAGGACTTGGGCCATTCTCTGCTGCCTTGCTAGGTCCATAAGCAGGGAGCTGGATGGGAAGTGGAGATGCCGGGATTAGAACTGGCGCCCATATGGGATCCTGGTGCGTTCAAGGCGAGGACTTAGCTGCTAGGCTACACTGCTGGGCCCTTATCATTATTTTTAGATATAGCTTAAAAGATCAGATTTTCCTCTTACTAAGGTGACGCGTTAAAGGATGACACCCGCAGCTGTCCAGGCTGCAGGGACAGGTGCCTGAGCTGATGGTCACGTGAGTCCGAAAGTGGGCGCTGCCGTGCTGGGCTCCACTCTGCCCCTGGCAGTGGCTGCTGGGCCGAGTACTGGTCCCCGCATCACTGAAAACGGTAGCTGAGCCTAGTGAGGGCACGGAGAGGAAATGGGGTCCCCAGAGCCAGTTTTTTTTACTTTTTCTTTCCCTCTCGATAGATCTCCCACAATCCAATTTTCGGCGACTGCCATTCGACCACTGCAGGTAAGGGTTTGGCAAGCTGGCCGTTTCCTGGGGCGTGTTCCTCTGAGGCGCCTGCGGGGTTCTCTCTGGGCTCCCCCATCTGGATGTTTTCTGCCTGGGGAAAGAGCCCCAAGGTGGCCAGTCCATGGTCGTTGTATGTATTTATTTGCACTGTCCTTTAATCCTGGTTTTGGTTTATCTTTAGGAATTATTTATTTGAAAGGCAGAGAGGATGGGGTGGGGGAGTGAGGTATTGCTACGTGGCCCCAACAGCTGCAATGGGCCAGGCTGAAGTCAGTAGCCAGGGGCTTGTCCTAGGTCTCCTGCCGGTGCAGATAACAAACACTTGGGCCACTCTATTGCTTTCCCGGGTGCATTAGCAGGGAGTGGGGTCGGAACTAGAGTAACTGGGACTTGAACTAATGTCTGTATGGGATGCTGGTTTTGCGGGCAGCGGCTTAACGTGCTGTGCCATGGCGGCAGTCTCTCACGGTGTGACAAGGGTGTCCTGGTGTGATGAGGATGTCCTGGCGTGGCGAGGGCGTCCTCGTGTGACGAGGGGCTCTGGTGGGACGAGGGTGTCCTGGTGTGACAATGGTGTCCTGGTGTGACGAGGGGGTCCTGGTGTGATGAGGGGGTCCTGGTGTGATGAGGGTGTCCTCGCTTGACGAGGGGGTCCTGGTGTGATGAGGGTGTCCTGGCGTGGCGTGGGGTCCTGGTGTGAGGGGAATCACCAGGTGTGCTGACTCCTTACCTGTGGGCTCTGGTGTTCAGACTCCACAGGTGGGGAAACTGTGGCCTGGCCTCCCCCATACCCAGGTCCTCGTTTCAGAGCTGTCCCAGCCTCTCACGGACTCCCATCCTGCTTGGGAAAAGTGCCCGGCCCTAGGACATCTAAGGGGTTATTATTTATGGTCTGGTACAGGCAAGGCACCCCCAGACCTTTTGACACTTCTGGGAGTGGGCAAGGGAGCCTCCGCAGAGAAGCCTTGGTGAGCACAGACAAGGAATGCTGGCCCTGTCATCCAAGGCCACCTCCGGGGACTCCCTTGGACTTGACTGTGACAGGAGTCCCATCGTAGGACACACAGAGGCTGCCCCCCGGGACACTCTCGGGGCCCTTACCTGGTGCTTGCAGTTTGGCTAGAGGCAAAGTTAGTGGCGTGTATCCAGGGTTACCCTGAGTTCTGGAAGCCAGCCTGTGGGCCCTGCAACTGTTGGAGGCTAGAGGCCAAAGGCAGGTGTCACAGGAGCCGTGTGGGGTGGTGGCTGGGCCAGCTGGAGGTGTGCCTGTCCTGCCTGGCCACTGACCAGGGCTGACCCCATCCTTCCACAGTCTCTCCCTGCAGCCCTTCGTCTACCCGGTCTGCACCCCTGAAGGCGTCGTCTTCGACTTGCTGTGAGTGTCTCTTGAATTCTGACCTCATCTACGCCCACGTGCCTGTAGGGAAGGGGCATTTGGGCCAGCTTGAGGGTTCCTTGCTCCAGGCAGTGCTGAACTCATGCCCCTGGTCTCAGCATCCTTGGGAGCCCTAGGTGGGCCTTCAGGGGACCTGGGCCCCCCGGGGATGTGGCAGCAGCACTGGCTGTGGCCACCTGGAACAAGGCTGCAAATTCCCGCCACTTGCGGGGGTCCCACTGTTTTCCTGGGTGCACCTGCTGTGCTTTGTGTCCTGAGAGTGTCTGGCCTGCTGGGGGCAGAGCCAGGACGGGGGTGGGTGGTGAGTTCTGTGCCGTAGCTGGTCTTGGCAGTGCCATGCCTGGCACTGTGTTCCAGCACACCCCAGCTCCTGGCCCTGTGTGGCGTTTCTGAACCATCTCAGAAGGTTTGTAGGAAATGCAGAGCCAGTCGGACAGCCTGGGCTCTTCTGTCTTGAGGTTAACGACACGGCTGAGGCCAGCCTGGGAGGACGGTGTGGGAGCTGCTGGCCACCTGGCTACTCTGCAGTGCCCGGGTGTGGGTGTGTGGTGTGGCAGCCCCATGCCTGCTGGCTCCCTGTCTTCCCAGCACTGCGGGCAGTCCCTGGGTGGAATGGAGCACAGTGCTTCTGCTGGCCCTAGCCCGCAGCAGTGCCGACCGGCCTCGTGACTCGGCTCTCTCCTCCCTCCAGGAACATCGTGCCGTGGCTGAAGAAGTACGGGACCAACCCCAGCAATGGAGAGGTAGGTGGCCGGGGGACCGCGGGGGTGGCACTCAGTGAATGGTGCTGGGGCACCGGGATTCGTGCCTTCGCTTTGGTCTGGTGGTGGTCGTGCCCTGCCGTCCTTTTCCACAGAGGGCTGCCCACGTACTCGCAGGAGTACTTGTGGGAAGGTGCTTCAGAAGGTGTTGTCATGGGAGCCAGTGTTTGGGCACAGTGGGTTATGCCGCCACCTACAGCAACAGCATCCTATGTAGGAATGTTGGTGTGAGCCCTAACCCTTTATCTGGGTCTCCCACGTGGGTGGCAGGGGCCCGACACTTGGGCCGTCCTCCGCTACGTTCTGAATGTGTTAGCAGAGAGCAGGATCAGAAGTGGAGCAGCGGGGACTCCAGCCAGCCCTCTGGTCTGGGATGTTGGTAGTGTGCACTGGCATAGCCTACTGTGCAAGTTCCTTTCTCCCGTCTAACTATAACTTGGTCTCATTAAAAAAAATTATTACTGTTTTTTTTTTTTTTTTTTTTCATGAGGACACACTCTTTATTCCCCATGAGCACTTGGAAGTTTCATTTCTGGGTCAGCGGATTGTGTCCGTGATGGTTGATTTCAGAGCCTGTGCTAGGTACAGATCGAAGAGCTGTCCTGCCGGCTTTTCTTGACCATTAGTTTTTTTTTTTTTTCATGTTCACTCCCGAGGTGAGGGATGGGGATCTGTGTGAGCCCCGGGTAGGGATGGAGAGGGTTGGGAGGGGAGGAGTGGAGAGAATGTGTCTGTGGATGGGGAGGGGGCGTGCGGTCCTTGTGGTCTGACTGTGTTAGCGCGGGGACGGGGGTGGTCTGTTGACACCGCCGCAGGGGCCTCCGTTGCAGGTGACGTGTCCTGGGGTGATGGGGATGGTCATGCTGTCAGATGGTGATGTGTGTCCTCCCACGGGCTCCCCACTGGTCTCTCTGTGCGAGCTCTGTGGCCTGTTGGCTGTCCGTGTCTGCCCCACAGTGCCCACAGGGACAGGTGCTTCCATGGCACTTGGCCCCCTGCCATGCAGAGGTCCTTGCGGTCTCTCCTCTGTTGGACTAGAGTAACTGGCTCTCTTGTCTCTCCTGGACATTTAGGTATGTTCTTCATTTTTCTGGAGTGAGCAGCAGGGTGGTCCAGTCTTGTAACCCGTGTCACGTGGTTGAACAGGTGTTTCCCGAGATTGGACGGTCTAAGGTCCTCATGCAGTTTAGGGGCCACTCCTGACCAGGTCACTGCACCTGCCCACTGCCGGCCCTGTTTCTTGCACTCCTCAGCGGGTGCTACAGCCTGTTCCAGACCGCTCTCTGCCCTCTCTCGTTCGTGTCTGCTGGCGTGAGGCTGCGGTGGGGTGGTCTGCAGGTCAGCCCCCAGCCCCATCCGTAAGTCCTGGCAGGTGTAGCGGTCTGACCCAGCTCACGCACACTGGCAGGTGTGGTGACCCACTGGGGCAATCCCTTGAACCCTCAGGCCTAGGCCATTCCCAAGACCTGGCTTTTGTGTGCACCAGTAGGTGCAATGGCCCAACTCAGCCTGTGCCCAGACACAACTCTTGTGCCCACCAGCAGGTATCAGACCAGGCCAGCCCCCAGACCCAGCTCTCACCAGCACTGGTGGCTGTTAACAGCCCTTCTGGGTAGACTCCTTGAGTCCCTGTTACGTTGTAACTCAGACAACATGGGTGATGCTGAATACTTTTCATGGACCACTTGTATATTTTTTCTTTGAAAAATACCTGTTTAGGCACCGGCGCAGTAGCCTAGCTGCTGGATTCCTTGCCTTGCATGTGGCAGGATCCCATATGGGCACCGGTTCTAATCCCGGTGGCCCTGCTTCCCATCCAGCTCCCTGCCTGTGGCCTGGGAGTGAACCAGCGGATGAAGGACCTTCCTCTCTCTCTCCTCCTTTTTGTATATCTGGCTTTGCAATAAAAGTAATTACGTAAATCTTTAAAAAAAAAAATACCTGCTGAGATCTGTTGCCCATTTGAAAATGGTTTTATTTGTTTCTTTGCTCTTTTTTTGTTTTAAAGATTTATTTTATTTTGCTTTTTTATTGGAAAGTCAGATATACAGAGGGAGGAGAGACAGAGGAAGATCTTCTGTCTGCCGATTCACTCCTCAAGTGGCCACAGTGGTTGGAGCTGTGTGTATCCGAAGCCAGGAGCCTCTTCCGGTCTCCCACGTGGGTGCAGAGTCCCAAGGCTTTGGGCCGTCCTCGACTGTTTTCCCAGGCCACAAGCAGGGAGCTGGATGGGAAGTGCAGTAGTCAGGACTAAAACTAGTGCCCATGTGGGATCCTGGCAAATACAAGGCAAGGACTTTAGCCACTAGGCTACCACGCTGGGCCCCAGTGAATAAATCTGAAAAAATGAATAAAAGAGGTGCAGCAGCTGGATTTAGGCCAGCACCTATATGGGCTGCCGGCACCAGAGGCAGTGGCTTTACCTGCTGTCCCACGGTGCCTTTTCCCTTGAATTGAGTTCTGTGTGTAAACTGGTTATTTCCCCTTGTTAGATGCATAACTGGCTAGTGTTTCCTCGCATTCTGTATATTGCCTGTTTTGTCGTCGGAAGCCCTTTGGCTTGCTGAAATGCCATATTCTGTTTTTGCTTTAGTTTCTTGTGCTTTTGGGGTCTTATCCATGAAATCCCTGCCTTCCCGACGTGTTCAGGTGTTTTCTCTGTGTTTTATCTCACTGTTTTCAGGTCTTACATTTATATTTTTAATCCATTTTGAGTTGGGTTTTGTATATGGTAAAAGATGGGTGCATGTAGATATTCATTTTTTTTTTTTCCTTTTTAATGATTTATGTATTCAAAAGGGAGAGTTAACAGAGAGGTCTTCGATCTGTCTGCTGGTTCACTCTGCAAATGGCCGAAAGAGCTGGGTCTGGGCTAAGCTAATGCCAGGAGCCAGGGGCTTCTTTGAGGTCTCCCATGCAGGTCCCCAGGGCGCAGGTGCTCGAGCTGTCCTCCACTGCCTTTCCATTACATCAGCAGGGGGTGTGATACAACACAACGCCACTTTCAGCATTAATTTTCCCACTTTTTTTAAATTTAAGATTAATTCATTTTTATTGAAGAAAAAAATTCATTTGTTTTTGTTGGAAAGGCAGATTAACAAAGAAAAGGAGGGACAGGAAGATCTTCCGTCTGCCGTTTTACTCCCCAAGTGGCCACAGTGTCCGGAGTTGAGCTAAACTGAAGCCAGGAGCCAGGAGCCGCTTCTGGATGTCCCACGCAGTTGCAGGGTCCCAAGGCTTTGGGCCATCCTCTGCTGCTTTCCCAGGCCACAAGCAGGGAGCTGGATGGGAAGTGGGGCAGCCGGGACAGGAACATGTGGATCCTGGCATGTATAAGGTGAGGATTTTGCCACTGAGCCCAAGTATCTTTTATTGAAATGCTGGCCTTCCAGGCCTGGCACAGTGGCATGGCCATCTCCCTGTGGTGCAGGCATTCTGTGGCCTTTGGTTCGTGTCCCAGCTGCTCCTCTTCTGTTCCAGCACCCTGCTAATTCACCTGGGAGAGTGGTGGAGGATGACCCGAGGGCTGTGGCCCCTGCATCCACGTTGGAGATGTGGAGTGAGCGCCTGGCTCCCAGCTTCAGATCTGGCTTGGTTTTATATCTAGGGTTCTCTGTTCAGAAACTTAAACATATATGTATTTTATTTTGCCTGTATTTATTGCAAAGGTGGGGGATTGCAGGCCCATGTGGGATTCTGATTAGGGTGGAGGTGGTTGGAATCACCGGGGGAAGGCCAGTGAGACAAACGTTGCCATTTTCCTTCCTTTAGGAGGGTGGGAGGGGCAAAGTGCCCTGCTCCTTGCTGTCAGACCCCATCAGTGGGGGGACAGAGGGCCCATGCCTTAGAAACCCCAGGGGAGGGAAGAATGTCCTGCGGGTGATACTTGATGATCTTGGCTGCTCAGAGAAGTTGTTGGGTTTGTTGGCTGTCCGTGTCTGCCCCAGTGTGCCCACAGACCCAGGGGCCTGGTGTGCTGGAACAGGGGGGGAGGGCCTGGAGTGCTGGAACGGGGGGGAGGGCCTGGAGTGCTAAAACGGGGCGGGGGGGCCTGGAGTGCTGGAACGGGGGGGCCTGGAGTGCTGGAGCAGGGGGTCCTACTCTCTGCATCCTCTGAGAAGTACTTGAAATCTCCTGTTGGCTTAGATGAGCCAGCTGTCTTGTCTTTCATGTAAATGTGAGTATGCTCTTCTTCCTTCCTTCCTTTTCTTTATTTTTTTAAAGGTTTTATTTATTTATTGTTATTACAAAGTCATATATACAGAGAGGAGGAGAGACAGAGAGGAAGATCTTACATCCGATGATACACTCCCCAAGTGGCCAAAATGGCTAGAGCTGAACCGATTCTCCCCTGGCCATCTCATTTAACCCTCTTCTTGTCAACTGAGGTTGCGTCAGGAGGCAAGCCACAGCAGTGACTTGAATGGTAACCTTTCCTGTCACCCAGCTGTTAACTAGGGAAAAAAGATAATTAAGAAGGAGACTAGGAAGGCCATTAGTAGCAGATTCAGGAAGCAGCTAGTGGCAGGTGCCGAGGGAAGCTGCACCGTGAGGCCGTGTGGTGAGAGAGCCAGGAGCTCAGGAGGGGGGCTGCACACGTGGCTGTGTGGCCCAGATTCGTGTCTTTTCTGGGAGAGCGTGGCTGTGCAGGGACATGCAGTCTCAGCGTATGTGGCAGTGCCGTCCAGGGTAGGGATGGTTATTGCCCGAGGCCAAGGTTGGAGCTGGTCCACAGAGTGGCCTGTCCGTGTGGGAGGTGTGGGCAGCTTCTGGGGTACCAAGCTGTCCACCTGAGGATGCAGCAGGTGCCAGTCTATAGGAATGCCAGCCAGGAAATTGGGGTTTGGTAAATACCCTCCCCCACACACACACACACACACACACTGTTGCCCCTGCAGGGTTCTGCCTCTGCTTTGGCTGAGAGTTGTTGTTCCAGAATGCCAGGGGTGCCTGATGGTGACTCTGCCAGGAGGCAGGCTGCG